GAAAAATAAAGGCACTTGTCATTGACTGATAATGTTAAGGTCGTCAGAGCCCTGCTTAGAGGCTGACACAGGCTGGACGCTGTCTCCCCTCTGATTGGTCGAGACGCACTAGCACACTGCGGCTTGGCTCCGCCTACTTGCGGTCCAGCCTCGGGTCATGTCGGCGGCAGTCGCAGTCCGGCCGGCCGGCGTGCGGGCCGCGCACGCAGCGCAGCGGAGTGGAGCACTTGTTTGCATGTCATGAACTTTTAATAAGTTGTTCTACGACAAATAAGGACGGAGGAAGAAAGAGAAAGGAAAAGGAGACGTGACAATGAGACGAACGGTAAACGTTGGCTAGTGGACAACAAACAATATGCATATAGCCGCTAGAGCAGAGACAGGAGACAAAGACGATAGACCAGAGACAAGTGACGAAGATAGAGATTAGGCTATAGACGAGAGACAATATACTATAAACGTATAGACGAGAGACTGACAAGGGGGAGTGAAGGACGGGAGATCATGAACTCTCGATATTGCATGCCTATCTACATTTTCAGATTGAGTCATCCTATATTTTCCCTGTTTTATTGTTTTTCGGGCCTAAGATCTATCAACAACATTCTGAAAGCATTGTGGCAATGTCATAGAAAGATTTACCTATTATTTTCACCCCCCCCCAAAAAAAATATTCTTTTAAACAAAAAAACGAAATACCTACAAGTATCTATGTGGATATCTTCAATTAAATAAGGCCGTTGAATGCAAAGACAGTCCGGTGAATTCTGTCCCGTTACTCCTTAAATGCACAATAGCCTGTAGGAAAACGGCTGCGGAGAGGCTCGCTATGAATTATTGAAAATAAGATTATTTTAAGTCTGCATAGGGAATAACATTCTGTAGCTAGGAGTGCTTATTGTTTTATACATACACCGTCGCGATCTGCATTAAATTCTTCATCCTATCCTTATTCTCTCCGCGCGAGACACGACATTTACGATATTCACGCAATGATGCCTGCGTTAGCGTGTGTCTCGTTCCAGTCCGTCAGAGCTCCGCACCGCTCTGACCCCGAGCGGCGAATGACCGGTCCCGGTGTCGCGGCACAGTGGGCGGAGCTTAGCTGCGGCGCAACAGCTGACGCTGCAACGCCATGCTAGCCTCTACCACGGTGCAGAGTTTTCCGATCAATTTTTACCATTACAAGTCAACGACAAGTGCCTTTCATTTTGACATTTTGTTAAAAGACCATATTAGTAAAAATTAGGTAGGCCCTTGAAACACATTGTGTCAAAGTTTGGTTGAAATCAAGCTTAAAGGTAACGAGAAAGGGCCAAAAAGGACTGTTCCAGAGGGTCTGAAATGCGTAGTAGTCGACCATCTACTATGTAGTATTTAAGCGTGTTGGTTTGTCGGCTGTCGCTATTTTGTGCCGTTTGTGTGATATCACGTTACCAATAAGAACAAACCATCACATCAATTGATAGAATGGTGATCTTAAATGAAATTCACTACCCAATACCCATGGAGACACTTAACGTCCTGTTCATGTTTCGCCGTCATATTGTATTTTGTTTGATGCCAGGTAATGGGCCGGAATATACAGAATGGTCTCCCAGTCGACGACTCGCCCCATATAGAGCACTAGAGCAGTAAACCGGCGGGCTACGGCGAGGCTTCAACAACGAAAAATGAACACAATTTGATAACGAAAGGCATTTTGGCGGGACCATAAGTTTTGATTCATTGTATCCAAGATACCGTCCTGATTTATTTTGCACACTTTATTTGCAAAGCAGGACACCACTGCAGTGTATGACTCGTGAGATGTCATTGCAACGTTCGTTGAGCCTAAACGAGTTACAATGAAGAGCGAGCAACACAGAAAACCTTGTCTTACGTTTGCTTTGAAAACAACTGGCAAGCGTGCAGGCTTTGTCTTATCCGGTTTACCCCGTAGAACAGCAGCTCATTGGAGTTCCTAAAGCATGTGAGTTAAGTACAAGGTTTCCAATTGCAAACCAGCTGGAACTGTGGAGCTTTGCAATTGCAAAGCATATGCATCGGTTTTCCGTGATAAAAGAATCGTCGCATGCTAGGTAGATCGTGGAAACGCCCCATTTTTAAAGCTCATATGCTCTGTTTTCATGCATCTCATCATAAGATCATCATGCCTTTTCAACGGGATTTACTTCTTTTTTGTTTCCATGCCGTTGCATGCAGCGCAACTCATGTCCGATGATCGAAGCTGCAGTTTGAAGAGAATTGCAAGCTGCATTTGCTCGGTTGTCAGAAGCGTCGATCCCCAACCTTCACGATCATCTCTAATTTCAAAATTATCTTTCCGTATACCTAGCACGTAACTTAAATTAAAGCTAAAGTTAACCGACCACTTATTAGAATGGATGAAAAATCATTACATTAATGATTTCTAAAATATTCAGTAATTGATGTTTATAAATTGATCATCACAGCCACATTTATTCCCACCAATATAGCTACTCATATGCACAGACGCCATGTGTATGGATCATGGATGCAATTATTATGTAGCTGCTCACGCTTAGTTCACGCAGTGTGCTGCAATTGTTCACCCCATAATTAATATTTCACGAAGCAGTGTCACGATGAAAATACAAAAACCTTCACTTGTTATCATGTGTAGTCTTTATTCTGCAACATTCTTTCACTCAACCATTCTGCATTTATGCTGCTGAGAGCGCATTGGTAATGTGTTTATGCAACCACTGATGCCACGCTTTATTTTTGGTCTCGGCCAATTTTGAGGAATACGAGCAATTGAAGAAAGATGCCTAAGGGGAGGAAGAGAAAAAGAGAAAGAGAGAGAGAGAGAGAAAGGGAAAGAGAGAGAGAGAGGGAGAGAGAGAGGGGGGAGAGAGAGAGAGAGAGGGGAGAGAGAGAGAGAGAGAGAGAGAGAGAGAGAGAGAGAGAGAGAGAGAGAGAGAGAGAGAGAGAGAGAGAGAGAGAGAGAGAGAGAGAGAGAGAGAGAGAGAGAGAGAGAGAGAGAGAGAGAGAAACGCCTTAAGCATTTGCATCGGTTTTCCATACATATATGCGACGATTTAGAAAGGGCCGAATTGTTAAAAATCTTAACCCTATTAGTGGCAGGGGGGGGGGTTGTTTTCATCCACCCCTCAGGCTTTTCGGGAATATCTCCGAAACCGCTGAAGCTACGATGCTGAAATTTTCTGACTTTTCCTAAAACTAAATTGGGCACATTCCCTGAAAATTTAAAGTTCATAACTTTACCAGGGACGGCTCCAGAGCACTGGGAATTGGGGGGTCCTATTCGTGAAGCGAGTCATTTGGGCGAAGATCACGATGCTGATGTATTATAACTGTATGCACCAGTTTTACGAACAGTGAATGAAAGGTATCATGTGATAACATATGCAAAGTTATTGTGCATCCTCTTTTGACACGTTTTTGCTATAATAGGCGGATCCAGGCGTCCAAAAAGGGGGTTATGTTTTACCTCCCAACATAGGTGCCCTGACACCGCCTATGCATGACCAATACAATTGTAGTCGTTCTCTCATAAGAAAATTGTAACATAACAAGACCATTACCACCCTTTTTAGAAACAGTACCAACAAAAACCTTATTTACTATACTTTTTGTGTACCCCCAATCTCAATGATCTGTATCCGCCTATGATTTTTGAAAATGCATATTTTTAGGATCCATGTGAATTCCTGGTTCATTCTCTATCGATCGGCAAAAGTTGCGTTAAGATTGGTTCAGAAACCTGGCCGTGATAAACAGTCTAAAATGTATCTGCAATTTGCCCGTTTTTACCCCCCCCCCTCTACCCCCTATTGACATTTTTTATTTTTTATTTTTTAGAAATGTAGATCACGTTGAGCGAAATCGAATGCCGTTAGAATTTTGAAAATCGGCCCGTTAGATCTCGAGATATCAAGGGGGGTCGTAAACAGCCCCCCCCCCTGCCACTAATAGGGGTAGCCAGGAGCCTGCCACTAATAGGGTTAATATATAATGCATACTATGCTCGTTGCCTATTCGGTTATTCACACAGCCATGCACATTGCAAAACAACACATCGAATTTGATAAAATACATGCACGAAAATATACCTATACTATGCACTTCTGGTTTCAGCCGGTAGCCACTACATTTTAAAGGTAGTGTGCCAGCTTTCTTGGACCGTATGGAGTTAATGGCCCAGATAAGGAGAACCGGATTTTTAGAACTTATCCATACCTTCAAAACTCATGGAAACGTCTTAAATTCTTCAAATTTTGAGTACCCCAGTGCGAAATTCGCCCCGACGGGTTGTCGGTCGTACCCCAACCACATTTCACACCACTATGAACAATAAATGCACACACTGAAATCGCTATTACCGATATGCTCATCCAATCAAGTTTCGATAAACCCGTTCATCATCATCTCCTGCGGTTTCGAACACGCCTGTTAGGTGGCTTCTGATGCTCGTCGAGGTCGGAATTTCCAAATACGCGTGGTGCGTCGGGCCGCGCGCTCTGACTTCGGCCAAGAAAAATGCGTCAGCTGATCATTGTCATTTCTGCCACTTGCGTGTGGTGAAATGGGGTCATAACTTATAAGACGGCTTTTTCATATCAATTATTTTACATAAAATCATATTTCAAACCATAAATAATGTTCGACAGCCAAATAAAAGAAACAATACCAATACGGGCTTACAGTTTAAGGCTCGACATTGTGTTGTCTACGATTAGACAGCTGATAACTCATTCCCGTACGTCGTATGGTCGTAACGCTATAATGACCTTTGCTTATTGTCACAAGTGCGCCGCATTCGCGATTGTTGCCCGACGCCTGTTTGCAGGTGAGCCCACTACAGTTGTTATACATATCTAAAAACCGAAAAACTTTTAGGCGAAAAAGGCACTATTCCAGGCCCATTTTTGATTTTTTTTGCGATATTAGGTAAAAACAGAAGCTTCTTATCCTAGGAAAAATAAAATGGGAAATCTTTCAAAGGTGGCACACTACCTTTAATGCGTTGGCAAACATCATCGACGGTCCACGAAAAAGCCGATGCACCATGAAATAATTTTACACATGTGTAATGTTTAGCAATACGAAATATGGCCGCATAGGGTATACGATGCCATATCGTTTACCTAGAGTAACCTTATCACATTCACCATAGAACTTTACATGGTATGTAGAGGTCTACGCATTCACATAAAACGTCAGATGTGATAGGAACACACGCTGTGAATCTTTCACTACCGGCGATTTGCGAAGGACGTTTACTAGTAGTAAGTCACCAGTAAGTAAAAGTACCATGCACACGGAGTGGCAGGTCGAGCGATGACCAGCTTGGGTCGGGTAATGTCCGACAAGACGTCCACTCAGATCTGTCTGCAAATTCACCCCGTCAGCTATCACGTCTTCCGTCCGAAGGATGGTCATGGTGAAAATAAAGCGCTACTCGCATACAACGCCGAATCCTACTGATCACTAGCTCACTCACTTCAGCAGACACCACCATCACACATCTGTCTCAACTTACTCTAATAAAGCTTCTGTACCGATAAAATTAGCTCACAGCTGCGGCAAACACGTATGTCTGATATACTTTTCGCAGCTCCTCACCACCGAGCCGCAAGAAGAGCTGTCTTCAATTGCAAATTGCGAGTAAAGAGAGACAGCTCTGCGATAAACTGCGATAACAAACAACGACATGATTTGACAACTCTTCACAAATCACATATCTACTGGTGTCCATCTGAAAGAATGCCTCAGAGTTCAGGAAATGCACTGATCGATCGCTATTCTACTTGTATGCTCTAGCTCAACATGACCGATTTGTTTACTAAATGGATAATAATTACGAAATTCAATGAAAGTCTTGGGGATCCAGTGCACTCATATGTTGACGGATTTCGAACCTTATTACAAACCCTGTTGTGTGTTTTTTTTTTGTTGGGTTAGGCCCTTTCGGTCGACAAGACCATTGCAGAGCCGGAAGGATGATAGGAATTAGGGGGAGACATTGGTCTGGGCAGGCACCCTAGTGAGTCGCCGGGGCTGAGCCCGTCCGAAGACAGGCCACCCAGCCCCAAGGCACTCACTGCACCCGGCTACGGGGTGCGTTCCCTCGGGAGCAGCGGTGCCGCTCCAAGGACCGCGCATGAGATAAAGTTGCCTGTCCAGCCCGGAGAGGGGTTGTGGCGTGGAGGAGAAGGATTTCAGTTTCCTGAGGATAGAAGCATGGAACGGTCTGTTGTGTGTCATTTGATAGGCATGCAGCCATCGAATGGTCCAAGGACTCCATCACAGCGCATGGCCATTGCCCCCGAGGTGCGCCTTTAGTGGGCTGATGTGTCCCGAGCCGGTCTGACCTGGCGCCGCGGGTGCCGCTGCCCTCCCAGCGCTCATCCTGCGTGCGCCCTGGGCTCTCACATTCATCCCTCGGGCTGGGTCAGAAGCCGTGACCCGCATATCACTCGTCTCCAACTCAGGCTCCGCTCTCAGGCAGAGCAGCACGCGCGACACCATGCTGAGAAACTTGGAGTTGAGCGCGCAGTAGAGGATGAAGTTGCACGAGTAGTGGACGGCCATCAGCACTGAGACGACCAGCTTGAAGGTGCGGTAGCCGTCCGAGCTGAGCTGGGACGTGTCACCGCCGTAGATGAGTGTAGCGGCCGACTGCCGGCTGGCCAGGTGGGTGGGAAACTCGCCGATCAGAAACAGCACGATGATGCCGACCAGGGTGGCTGTTAGACGCGTCTGCTCCTGTAGGTAGAGACGAGAAGACAGAGGTGAGAACAGCGGGTGACGACAGGGGTGAGGTCAGCACGTGGGGTAATAGAGAATGGCAGAATGTGGGAGATATTAACGGGCGGTCGCTTGAGCAGGTGACCTGGCCAAGTGGACTGAGCATTAAAGGCCGACAACATATGCATAAAATTGCATGATGAAGTGTGTTCAAAACGTCGTCCCTACCTCCATCGTTTTTGAAACAGAGGATATAGGAGACACTTTCCAATTGTAGTTTTATAATCCACTACCAAATTATATCCATTGCGTTACGCCGACTGTAGTTGCACCTGTATACTCCGGGTTGGGTTTGAACTACCGCAGAGACAAACACTTGTGAAAATAAAGTGAGAATGGAGCCCCCTGTGCGGCGCTGAGTTTTGCGATGCACCACTTTATCACGAGCTCACAGGGTCGAATGTCAATAATAAATTGTGATTTTGATGACTGGCCGTGCAGCTACCGATTACTACCCAATAGCAAACAGAGCATATGACCCTGCAGGGTCTTAAACGTGCTTGTAAGTATAGCTTGCATGTAGCACGGCTATGAGTGAATGCCGGGTCGAAGAGGCGCATTCGGCTTTTTCCGCATATAGCGCACTTGGTCAAATGCAAAGTAAATCACTTTCATGTTTTGTGAACTGCGCCTTACCATGCATTGATGATTCTTACAGTGCATCCAAAAGTAAAGGCATATATACGACGGTGACGGTTGAATGTCGGGTCAGCATGATTCGCTACATATGCTGCAATGCTGCAGCATGCTGTTTAACAGCCATCAATGAACCCGAAGTAAATGATTTCCTTACGCAGGGTCCGCTGATGCCTTGTAAGTTAGTAAACAAAAATTTCTTTCTCGATTTATATAGCGCCACCGCCAACGAAAAAGGACCTCAATCAAGTATCATGACTATTAAGCACCACAAGCACTCATGTATTTCTCCAATAGCGCCATTGAGCTTTTGAAACTCAAAAAAGAACCGAGTACAAAGAGAAGACCTGATGCCCACATCGTTCATTTATGTAGAAACCAGTACGGAGCCTTTGCATGGGTTCAGTATTAATAATGTCACTAAGCGGACGGAGGTTCAAGGTGTTTGTTGTTACGAGACATTATACTCGTAGACATTATAAGCCGGCTAACAGACTAAAGGCTGAAACAGACTCTTTCCGCGTTCAGGAAATCGCATGCGAGAGCCTATTCAAATACATTATAATTTTTCCCGCATCAATCGTATCCGGGAGGTGCGTGCGATTGGAGTGTGCTTCCATGTGTTTGAATAGGCTCGCATGCATTTCCTGACTGCGGAAAGAGTCTGTTTCAGGCATTACACGAACGGGAAAACGAACAGCAGTGCCGTTAGCTCGATGAGGCAAATATAAAAACAAACGAACCTAATCAGTCGCGTACAAACTAAGCGGTCACCCGAGCCTTTGGAATTATTACTATTTTCTCACATGTCATTTCATTATTTTCCGAATTTTTGAAGAGCTCCGACCGTGGCTGGGTGCCAGCCAGGGCGTGATATCATATCGCCCGATCTTTGGCGAAACAGAAAAGCTCACATTCACCGGGGACGTGGGGCGTCCCATGCTTTTCATTCTGGGTGGCCTCGTTGGTCGGTGCAGTGGTCGTTCAATGCCTGTCATTGACCGTGGCGGCCTCTTTGGCATTCAGCGGCACGATCGAACACCGCAGCTGTGAAGCTCGTGACGTTGATGTAGGTAACATCCGACATGGATCTGACGTCTTTTACTTGACGCCTCGGTCAAACTTCTCAATGTCTGTCAAGACTGATGTTGTTTGGCTACCCAGTACCCATCTAAGTAGTAGGTACTACTCCCCGCGTCACACAATAAACTTTTGATGGAAGCCGCAAGACTTGATTGTATGTTTGTGCCATTGCGCATTAGCATACGCATTTCGAATAGATTTAAACTCTTTTTCGTTTTGTGGTGCCACGGTAGTAAGAAAAGGAATATCATGACATCAACCCATATGCCTACAATAACTATGTATGTAGCTTCGACAAGTGGAAAAGCCGTGCGCTTGTGGCCTGAGCCCATATAACATAGGACATTTTGCGATGTTCCTCGTCCGATTTCGATGTTTGATGTTCGTCCGATGGCCTTATGCACAGGTGCACCCGATAGGTATGGGCAATAATTTATTTGTACAGCTTTTCATATTGGTTATTACGAGCGAGCGAGCGCAGCGAGCGAAGCGAGTCTTTTCAATATAACGGAAAAATCTCAGTATGAGGGGCCCGGCCCGGCCCGGCCCGGCCTGTAACGCTTTTGAGAGGCTTACATGTATCTCAGCAACCGCTGGACCGATTGGCCTGCGGTCTTTTTTGCTGGGTAGCCCCATCCCTTCTACCCCGTAATTGACTACTTTTGATACATCTCAGTGACCATCGTGGCACGTGCCACGTGAAAAGTCAAGGGTGTTCAAGCTGTTTTGCAAAAGTAGTGATTTTGAGAGGCTCATATCTCAGCAGCCGCTTGGGCGATTGACTTGCGGTAATTTTTATAGGGTAGCTGCATCCTTTCTACCAAAAATAGGATACTCTCGGTGCATGTGGGTCACCCCCAGTGCACGTGCAAATTACAACATTAAGAGGCGTCAAATTTGTTACCATTTTAATAACTCGGTAATTACTGGGGCGATATCGCTGAAACTTGGCATACAGGTAGGTACCCACCAGGCAATGCATTCCCATGTGTTGCGGTTAGGGTGCTACTGCACGTGCGCACGTGCAGGGGGCGCTTCCAGATCTCGAGAACGGCTGGGTCGATTGCGCTCAAATTTGGTACACGGTTGGAGACCGGTTAGTAGGGTGCCGTGCAAAAGTCAGTTTGAACCCTGTTTGCACGTGCGCACGTGCAGAATGCCGCTTCCAGATCTCAGGAACGGCTGGGCCGATTGCGTTCAAATTTGGTACACCGCTAGCGACCGGTTAGAAGGGTGCTTTGCGCAAGCCCGTTGGAAGTACCCTCTCGCCCTTCCGCACGTGCAGGGCTCACTATCTCGCTCGCTCGTTCTTCGCCCAAAAGGCGTTTTACTGGTTTTATATTTATTTTCATTTAGAGACTGGTAAGGAGGATAGATGCTGTCGTTGCAGTACCGAAAAGCGTCATCTGATATTATGACCGGAACAGAGGAAAAACATGTTGGCATTAGAGCTGATCCATCACTTTCGGATGATGTATACGAACCGGTATCAGGGAAGGCCTTTAGTGCCATTATTCAAGCATAAAAAGTTGACTGAGCTCAATCATTGAAGCCATAAAATCGATAACGCCTGTAGCGGGACACGCTGAGATTTGAAGCATGACCGGCACAGATGGAATAATTTACGTGTCACGTGACCTCTGAGCCGTTTAAAGGGACCCTCCCACCTTCAAAAAAGTTAATGAATTGGCATGAAAGTGATGTCGCTCGGTTCAGAAAGAGCAAAAACGAATATCTACCAAATTTCATCGAAAAATATTCACCGGTTTTCAAGATATTAGACTTTTACTTTTGTTTACTTTTTGGGATCTCCGCTGTTCCTAGCGACTTTATTTGAAAGTGCGGCATTTGTTGCGCGCAAAGCAGCATATACCACCGCGTGCTACAAAACGTTTAAGTCAAACATTTAACGGACGTTCGAAAGCCTGATGACGTCATCAGATTCCCGTAATGGTTAAGAGATAGGGACCACGCTGGTCCCACCCTGCAAGTAAAGGGAAGAAATTTCTTGAACACCATAAAGCTGCGGGGGTTGCGACAAGGATAAATGGTGGGTTCTGAGCCTGGCCGCAAACTTGGCTATCTCAACTCAAAACTAATGTTAAGGTGGGAGGGTCCCTTTAATGTTCACGTGATTTGTTTGTAGCATGATGGCTGAGCCGGTACATACATAATCGGCTTATATACAAAGACAGACAGTCACCGTTTTGACTTCGCCGCCGAGACATTGAGAGAGATCATTGTATTAACATTGTACGACAGTGGCATGCAATGCAATATAGTGACGACGAAACGAAGGTGGGCGAGTCAAATAACATGTCGGACGCATTGCCAAATACGAGCAACTATTCACCAGACATTATCCCCCAGAAATGGCAGATACTCAAGGCTTTGAAGGTGAGCGAGCTCCGTCTCAGCACCAACTCACTGCCTAGTAGCAAAAACACCCCAGTCCAATTCCCAAAACCCTCATTTCGATGAATGATAAGACCTTGAAATTGGGATAAAGTTGCCTAAAGTCACGTGGACAGAATAGGTGTTGGGAAATGGCATGAACAATGCACATTATACCTACATACTGCACAATATGCAATAATTCCAATGACTCCACTGCATGAAGCGCTCGCGAGCCAGTTTTGACAACTATGCACATCTTATCAGTTCAGACCGCCTGGCGAGTATAGATTTCAACGACAGGGCGCTCGTCTAGCTGTTGCGCTGACCCAATTTTGTCTAATCACCGTGGGAAAACCAACTCAGTTCTGATGTACGTCGAAAAAAAAAATGAGATAGGTATTGACACGCGATCTCAGCCGCCTGCAGATGGGATGGATAACTAGACGCCGCTTTGCATGTCTCTTTTCTAAACGTCCAGTGACTAAGGAACAGCTTTAAAGTTTGGTAATATGAATTTATTTCGAAGCAGACCATTAGGTATGAGATGTTCATAATAGACTTATGGTTTGCGACTGCCTACGCAATATTTCTAATTTTCCAAGTGTATCATCGATTGATGAACTAAATTGTTCAGCAATTCGACACAAGATAATTTGCCAGCTCACTGCAAATCTAACTGTAGCGTGCAAGGTTCAAATGCGCACCACAATGCTTGATTGTCTAATGTTGTATGTAGCAATGTTTCGAAGAGCTTATCTGCTTTAGCACGCTACTGCGAGTTCTATAGATTTCTATATTATTCAACATCCTGTAACAATGGATTGCATTACTCCAACTATGGTAACATGTTAATGCTAAAATTCAAATATAAGTGACTGTGAATCAGAAAATTGGATCAGTATCGACATTTAACGGTATGCACTATGCAGAGATTTATGCGGGAAGTAAACTAAGTAGAAAGGGATATAGACCGTGTGTCATGTCATATAACTTTATTGTGTGGCCAGAGTTAATGAAATTTCTACTCTGTCTGATATCCCCCTATGGCGGAAAACTTAACGACGAAGCAGAACTACTGCTACGGCACTCGGGTCGCTTCAGAATGTGCCGTCAAACATTTAACGAGCTGCTGCGGTGTAGCGAAAAGCTCACTGCTTGTGAAATAGCCTTCAAACTAGAGGCTGCATGCATGTCAAAAATGATGAATTCATGCTGGCCTAAGTGTGACGGATATAAACCCCCAGGCCCCAAGACTATTTAGGTTTCAATTTAAAAACGTCAGCATTTTCCCAGAAGGAAATTGAAACGGGTATTCGTTGCATGAAAGACTATGGACCAGCATCAAATGCCAGCTGGAACTAAGGACGGTGATGAACACTGGCTCATTTTTTAAACTTAGCCAATGACCATGATGTTAAAGAAAAACTATACAAGCCCATCGCTAAATAAAATACATTTTCTCACGTTCATTGACAAAGTAATCACTAGCCGTTTTCACGACGGCCATCTGGTACACATTTGGTGCACATCTGGTACAGATTAGGTGCAGATTTGGTGGTCAAATCAGGTTCAGTGTGTCTCTTAGCAGCTATCAGCTAGGGTTGCACCAATTGCTTATAGGCCTGCTTTGTCATATTATCAGAGAGCATCATCGATTAAAACACTGAAATAAATTCATAAAATGAAGATATTTGCTGTAAAAGAAATTAGGTGCAGATTTGGTCAAATCAGGTGCATTCGCCGGATAGCCCGTCGTGAAAACGGCTAATGTATATTTTTTTTGGACTCAGTGAGCAAGGTCGACATTGCCGGTGACATGACTTTGACTGATGACATAATGGTGACAAGAAGACGAACTAAAGAGGTGCTGCCATCATCTCAAATGCAAACCGTTTCCATGACTCGCCTATCTTTACCCCATTGCCCACCTTGAGCCGCTTCTCCTCGCGCAGTTTACGCTGTGAGAGCAGCGTTTTGCGGTGTCGGTAGCTCTGGCGCAGTGACAGAATCAGCAGCAGGTTTCCAACCGCCAGGAACAGCGCCGTGCCCAGACCAAACACCACGAAACGAATCCAGTTGTGGATCTGGTAATACCTGGAGAGAGGGCACAACACTCGTTAGCAGGACAGAAAAACGGGCTGGAGAACATGCGGCTGTTCGGAGAAATGCTGGGAATGTGAGGCTCACTGGGTGAAATCACAGGTGTAACATGTGGCGAGCACAGTCTGCAGTGCAGTCTGGTATTTACAATACGACACAGTAGAGCAGTCAGGACAGTGTATTGGTATTTGGAACATCGATGTGAGCATTAATCAACAGATAGCACTCAACGTTGTATATAGGTAGACACTTACATGAAATATGAATTAATATATAGTAGGTATAACGCGGCTGCCCTAGGTAGGCGTGTATGTATTGATTCATTAGCTGATACGCAAGCAGTCTAGCTTTAGTGCCGCTTATGTGTGGTATTAAATAGATTACCCTCATTACCGTCACCAGCTTGGTGCTTTAGATAACAGAGACCGCTGTGCCCATGGGACGGTACAGTCGTGTACAGGTTGATGGTCCCCTACTCTTTATCCACCGGGTTCCTATGGCTCAGCATTGGCAGCAGCCGCCTGGTACCGGTAGGCTGTGCCGCATGACCGGAAAGTGAAGCGGCACAGTCTACCCACGCCGTTTGACATCGGCTCGGGTCGCCGGGTGGAGCGCTTTGTAGACCAGCTGTCGCGTCAGACCAGCCCGGGGGGGAGGGGCTCGTCTCGGTGGTTGGCGTGGGCTGGGGAGTGGTGTGGGGCGTGTTGGTGGACCATGGGGGCTGGGCGGGTTGTGGTCACTTGCTGCATTGCACATTTTGCGTCGCTTAACAATTGCATTCCTGTTTTTGCTAAGCACAATGCACGGAAGACCCAGCGAATATGATTTACTTGTGCATTGTGCAAAACGTGATTTGGCACGGTGTCGAGGCAACCATAGGTCTTGTGCCACATATATGCATGATATTTAGGCAATACGCTTATGAAAATGGTAGATTGATCGGATTGATGCTGGATGTCAATTCGCATGCTAAATGTCGACATGTAATAAATGAACGAATGAATGAATGAATCAATCAATCGACAATCGACATGTAGATATAAAACCGTTTAAATGGCTCGCAACCACTAAAATCAAACCAGATCCTAACTCGGAAAAGTAGCGGGAGCCCCGATGAGGCTCGAACCGGGACTCCACGTCGAAAGTTTTGCCAATGATCCATCATCATTCCACCAAGCTAGGGCGACCGGCACCCGAAACCACAAAAACATTCATTGACTTTGCTGCCGACCTCCCGGCCCCGCCGCCCGCCCGGCCAGACTTTGCCCCGGCCGTGGCCACCATCCGGTGTAGCTCAGCGTAGGAGTGCTAGACTGTCAAACTGACCGGCAGTGAGAGGCCCGGTTCGAGACGCTTGGCGTGCTGGAGGTTTATTTCTGTGTCCGAGGCTATGCGAGTAGTCCACTTTTCAGAAAGATTATTTGGTGACAGGCCTGTTTTCTTTCTTTGCTGCAATTCATGAGGAGACCGTATGACTATGGACCCTTACCTGTCCTTCCGCGACCCACTTGGGAGATGGGTGCTTGAACCCCCCTGGGTTTTGTGAATATCTCTAAAGCGAATTTTTGGAGGGTGGATTACGATCGGTTCTATGCGACAAGTGACCACACACCCCCAGCCCCAGGTCCGCTCACTCCCTCCCCACATCACCCCCGCCCCACACCACACTCTAGCCCGCCTCATCCACCGAGCCGAGCTAAATAGACAGGCCTGACCTTTACCCCCCCCCCCCTCCCCCCAGCCGGTGTAACGCAGCGTCCGGTCAAATCGCTCTACCAGGCGACCCGAGCCGGTGTCTTACACTGTGGGTAGGCTGTGCCGCTTCACTCTCGGGTCATGCGGCACAGCCTACCGGTACCAGGCGGCTGCTGCCAATGCTGAGCCATAGGAACCCGGTGGATAAAGAGTAGGGGACCATCAACCTGTACACGACTGTACGTGAAATGGGCGTTGGGTAGTATGTATTTCTGCATTCCCGGTAAATTCAACTTGAAATTTGAAAGAAATTCCATCCGACAATATCAGAGCTTACTCTTAGGTACCGGGTTAATCTAATAACAAACCCCACCTAAATTCCTTTCACTTTAGCATCAAGATACGGGACACCAGAGACGTTTGCTGCCCGGCCAACACCAACAGTGACCCGTCCATCGCAGCTATAAGTGCGTGGTTCAGTCTGCATCTGATAGCGGGCCGTTTATTCCGGCCGCTCCGCCAGCTGACGGGGGCTCTCAGCACTCAGCAGGCTGTCAGCGTCACCTCGTCATGGCCAGGTCATTAATCAAACGGACAGATCAGCCGGTCCGGCACAGGCTGCCAGAGGTGAGAATGGGGCACTGCATGCACGCACGGTAATTCTGAGTCCTGTCAGCTCCCCTCCCTCTAAGTTTAATGTCAGCCTTTGGGCTTGCAGTCACACATCAACAACTTTAGCCATATATGGCTAAAGAGAGAACAGCATTATGGAACAGCATATGTGCTGTTCTCTTTTGAATAACCTTTTACTTACAACACCTAAAATTAATTCGTGTGGCATTCGACCGCATCAGCTTTTAAGGTCAAAGAAGCAACCAGTTATTGAATGAAAACTTTCATGACTATCGCTATGATGGTGATCTCAAACATAATTAAACTCGGATGACGGACATGTAAATAATGTCACGGTCGAACGATCCATCCACACCCAGACGACATGACACGACACCGTGTGTAATCGTGTCCCGAGTGAAAACTCATGTGTCCCGAGCGAGAACTTATGTGTCCAGAGCAAAAACTCATGAGTCCCGGGCGAGAAGTGATGGCCACTCAAGCGAGCGCTGTGAGCGACAGCTGAGCCACTAAAGCGGCCGAAATAACGCCCATTGCAAGTGAGTGCATATCATATTGCACTTTCCTCGGTTATCAGCCCGTTTAAAGGCTGAAACAGACTCTTTCCGCGTTCAGGAAATCGCATGCGAGAGCCTATTCAAATACATTGTAATTCTTCTCGCATCAATCGCTTGCGGGAGGTGCGTGCGATTGATGCGAGCGTGCTCCCATGTATTTGAATAGGCTCTCGCATGCGATTTCCTGACTGCGGAAAGAGTCTGTTTCAGGTTGGTTTCAGGCTTAAAGGGACCCTCCCACCTTCAAAAAAGTTAATGAATTGGCATGAAAGTGATGTCCCTTGGTTCAGAAAGAGCGAAAACGAATATCTACCAAATTTCACCGAAAAATATTCACTGGTTTTCAAGATATTAGGCTTTTACTTTTGTTTACTTTTTGGGATCTCCCCTGTTACTAGCGACTTTATTTGGAAGCAATAATTTGGCAGCCTTAAAGTGCGGCAGACGTTGCGCGCAAAGCAGCGTATACCACCACGTGTTAACGATGGTTTTAGTCTAAGATTTAAAAATCGTTAGATCTCCGCTGACGTCACAAATTCTAAGGGGGCATTCCAATGCATTAGCCCCCTTAGAATCCGAAAACTGCAAGTTTGAAATTCCATATCTTCGAATTAAAGCATTTTTCGATGTTGTGAGTGCCCAAACCGGTATTTGCAGGCCATGGCCACCAATTTGGCTATCTCAACTCAAAACTAATGTTAAGGTGGGAGTGTCCCTTTAAAAGTACCCCTGGCAGGCGGCTGGCTCCTAAAGTCACACATGTATATTATATTCACTTATATTGACTTATTATTGCCTTATATCGACTTTTAACACATATAATCACAAACTGATTCTGTATTCAATGCAGCACAATACAACAAAGCATCTCGCAGTGCAGCATTAAAAAAGCTATAAGCATGGCGTAAATTTGGCGCCCTCGCCGTCGCGTGCCGGAGATAATATGATACCCCCGCCGTCCGACTGTAGCGGCAGTCTGTTCGGTGATCCTGTGACTATTCGACGTTTGCCGCCGGCTCCCGGGGGTCTGTTTAAAGCCTTCTGATGGCGTTGGCGGGCGCCCGCTACCAGTGCCAATAAACAACGCCTTCGGTTCGGTCCGCGCTGCCGTCTATGACGTAAGGCCAAACGGAGCGAGCCGGGACCGAGCAGTGGAACGGTGTAGTACGGAAGGAACGATGCAGTATGAAACGGTACGAAGCTGTGAGCGAGAACGAGCGGAAAGGTGTGAAAGGGTGAATGGAGACTAGCGGAAACTACGTAACGACATGTAAATTACGTCTGTGCTGAATCTGGACAGAGCTGTGAGGGACCCAGGGTTGTTCTGCACGGTACATAAGTTATAGCGGCTAGGAAAACTGCACAATCACCCTACTTCCATGAACGTCTATGATTCGTTCTGAACTACTGTTTTAAATCTTGTAGGAAGTCCTACAACTGTCACGACACGGTTTGGGCGTGTCGGTAACTTACTTCTAAATTTGTCGAATGCATTCTAGTTGAAAAACTTTTAAAATTAAGACCATCACCACGTCTCTTAACATTTTCACAGCATTATCAACTATACCACACCAGCGTTCATTATTGCTAATACAATTAGTTTGAGGCGTTTTCGCCAACGACGAATTAACATGCCCAGTCCATCGTGCTTAGATGGCTGCTCCAATTTGTATTCAGTCCGGGCATTGGCATGTTTAAAGATTGTCCGAGACAGCCTGAGGCTTTTCTCTGGAAACAGAAGCCACGGCTTTGTGGCTCGCGGCTCCAGATTGAATATATTACCTCCTGGAATACCAACCAGAAACCAACGCGCCTGTATCGGAAATAGCCCGCTTGGGAGCTTGTCATGGTCGCAGGCGAATCCAAATATTGGTTATCGAAATTGCTTTAAAGGCCGCTTGGTTATTTGAGGCAGGATTTATCCTGCCTATCCTATTTTAAGGTCAGGTCGTCACGTTTTCTGACCAATTCAAGGAAGAAGCCAACCAAAATCTTTGAAATGAATTGCACATCCGCAGTCAAGTATGCTACAATGGATTTAAATCCTCACGACACATGAGTGACTGTTTTCACATAAAATTGAGCCGCGGTTGTTCTCTGGACAGCTGTGGGGTAAACATTATAGATTAACTGGTATTTATGGATGAACCAGAAACCGAGGTCAAACGAATGACCAGCAATGAAATGAGAGCTCCATCGCGCTTATGAAGTCCGTGATTATTAATCACATTTTATTGTGATAAATCGCAGCTCAATTGTTGCTTCACACGCAACTGGAGTCTATCACTGCATTCCGATGGAGCATTTCCCAAGCATCAGCACTCCATCGCCACATTTCGGTGGAGTCCATCATCATAGGTATTACGATGGATTATATCGCCGGCGGTCTATCGCCACATTTAGATGAAGTCTACCGTCTATAAGATGGAGTCTATCTAATCTATCATCAGTCTATCGCCACATTCCGACCGAATCTAGCACCGTCTGCGATGTAGTCTATCACCGTGTGCGATGGAGTCCATCACGAGCAGTCCCGGTGGGCGGGCCGTTTACACAGTGCCGCCAGTAATATACACGATCCCAGGTGGCCCGAGCCGAACGGGAGAGTTACCGCTCTGCAGGGAGAGGATGGGACAAGGAGAGAGGGCTGGAGAGTGGGAGGGACGAGAGAGCAGAAAGAAAGAGAGAAGGGAGGAGGGAAGGGGGACGAGAGGAAGATCGAAAGGGGACAAGAGGGGAGAGAGAAAGAGAGAGAGAGAGAGAGAGAGAGAGAGAGAGAGAGAGAGAGAGAGAGAGAGAGAGAGAGAGAGAGAGAGAGAGAGAGAGAGAGAGAGAGAGAGAGAGAGAGAGAGAGAGAGAGAGAGAGAGAGAGAGAGAGAGAGAGTTGAGAATCAGCCGCATTCAATATCGCATTTCGGTGACCACATGACACAAATTTGATTTTTATTTGACGCTGAGGGTCAACATATAGGGTAGGGTGGGGTAATTTGAACATAGTGTGAATGACAGAAAATTACGGAAAATCCATAAGTGACATGACAATAAGACCAATGAGAGAAATTATCGTAACTAAAAGGGCTATCATATGAACGGGGTTTAAAGTTTCAGGGAATGAAGATGTTGACGCACAGTGTAAAAAATCAATTTCGCAAGGGAAAACGCCTAACAACACGTCATTGCAACTTCATTGCAGCGCAAAATCTTGCATTGCTAGCGCCTAATACGCAACGGCTTTTGTTGTATAATGACCTAATCAGTGCCTTCAATCCAAGAAATTTGCTTTTGAACCCTGTTTTTTTAAATGGCAAAATAACTTTTAGCGTGGGGTAATTTGAACATAGTGTGAGAACTTGAATGAAGACAGGGATAGCTCCGAAAAAAGCAACGCTCCCAGTTTTTTTTTTGCCAATATTTTCGACCCAAGGCAGTAGCAGATAAGTTATGCCAATTTTAGAAAATTTACGTCTAATATCCGTCTAATGTCCGGCATGTTTGTTGATTTTCCGTCCAAAAATGTTAAAGTCAACTATTTGTCCAAATATGTCCGAAAATTATGCAGCTATCAACAGTCAAAACCGTCATTTATATTGCTTATCATGTAATTTTACCAGCCGAAAAGTGTTCATTATATTGAGAGCTTAACAAGCTTTCCATTCGCCAATCAATGCTATGCACGATTACTTTATAAAAAGCGCTGAAGTGTAGCAAACCATCGTCCAATGTTGTCCAGTCTGCTACCTTTGTCCAACCAATTCCGAATTGGACATTGGACAAAATCAGAACTCCAAATGTCCAGGTTTCGATTGGCACCACTTTAACAGATGTAGTACGGTTGGGAGAGTTTTTATCGAACAAAAATGATAGACGTTCTGTTAATTGAAGAGGGGCGAATTCTGTCAACTGACCGGTGTGCAGCGTGCAGATATTGATACTCTGCAACTGTTATTTTTGCTGTTGTGTTGATTTTTGAAGTGAAGGTATGTTTAGAATTGTTCTGCCTATTTGTTTATGGGTCAAACAACATCGGTGCTGGCGAGACTATCGTTTTTATGACAGGTAAAGACAGTATGTTCAAATTACCCCACGGTGGGGCACTTTGAACACACCGTGACTTGGTGGAGAAGTGAGGCTATGCTATTCAAGGTATGCTCGGCTCGTCCAAAAATGAGGCTTGCATGGTGAAAGCAAGTGACACTTGCGCTACTGAAGCAGTTTTTCTTCATCCAGGGTTGAACTGGAATTTGGTACAACGGAGAATACGTAAAAATATGTTCAAATTACCCCACACTACCCTAAGGCTGATAAGAGGCTGGTCCAAGCAGGACGGTTGCTGGTCCAAGCAGGCTGGGCTGCTAGAGCCAGTCGCTCCAAAATTAGCCTACAGCTCGGTCCAGCGGTGTCGATGGCAGTTACACATGTTCGGGTCAGACCGTCCCGGTCAGGGGTCCACCGCTGTAGACTGGGGGATACAAATAGCTCGCAGTGGTCGACCCGATACACCGCACTGGTGGCACTGGCGGGGTTAAAGGGGCTGTAGTCGGAATCCAATGGAGCCGATGTCATAGCGAACCCTGACCTGTGCCACAGGAGCGATGATTACTTTCATGCAATGGCTACACAAGTGGAATTTTACATAGTCTGATCGCCTTTGAAGTCTCAATATAAGTTTGCTATGTTCGATATGCTGCCACTGCATTAGGCAATTACATTTAAGCCTCATGTAGGAGCTGAGTGGATGCAAAGTCGAAGTGGACAGGGACCTGGATAGGGACGTCAAACGGATGCACCTTTCCCGTTGTGTTGCGTGTATAATACAGACAGATAGCAAAAAATGCAAAGCACCCATGTATTTAGGTACCTTACATAATAACCCTTATGCAATTATGTATATTTCACACTGAAACCGCTGGTAAAGTAGCAAACAAATTGTGTCGTACGACCTATATAGAACAGAAAAACTACTTACTGTCCCCGGTAGAAATGCGTCTCCTGAATGCCGTCGTCCACGACGAATGCCAGGAAGTAGGGAATGTTGAAGACGATGCTGACCGGGAAGATGACCAGGCAGACGCGCCAGGCCATCTCGCGGGTGCAGTACGTCTTGGCGCTCTGTCCATTCCTGTCGAATCGAAGGTGCGCATTGGTCAACAGGGAGTTCAAATTGGGAACAACCCTATTGAAGTATGGAAGAGACAGATGCTTGCAGAGACAGATGACCGTCAATGAACAGTTCATCGCATCGTAGAAAAATACGGATACTTAGGGATGACAATTCCTTGATGGCTTTCAACAAAGCGAAAATAAGGAAGCCTCAGATACAGCCGATCATATCACACTACCCATGACCCATGACTTTGATATCTCTTCAACAGACGTCGAAAAGATCCATCAACAGACAAGCCATTCACTATCCCAGTTAACTCGTCAAGAGGCTCGGTCGGATGGTCAAACCGCGCTCTGTCAGCGGCCGGCCCAGCGCCATTCATCAGCTTCCTCTCCGAGTCCTCCGTGATTTACTCACTACCGTAAATCAGCACATCTGTCACACAGCGTCTATCTCGGCCGGGCATCTGACGCGGTTCGGTGCCCCGATCGGTCACTGGTCGGCGCTACCGTCAACATCAGGCCATTACGGGTCTGTTGCCACGGTCTGCGATACACAGCTCAGCCCCGGTGACCCCCGCGCTGATTGGGATACGTCAGCAGCACAGCGGAGAATGAGGCGGACGTATATAGAGGATACGGTCGCTGCTGGCCATAGCGGGACACATGGTCGAAGAGAGAAATTAGAGTGGTGGAGAGAGAAGCAGGGATATATAGCCAGAAAGGGAGGGTGAATGATGGATAGGATAAAAATAAATGATATAATGGTTAGAAAGGATACAGGTATGGTGGGAAAAGGGATGGTCAGGAAAAAACAGCCAATACAGCCACAGGAAAGGTAGCAGAATTCCAAGCATGCTCTCCCTGAAAATGAATTAAATTTAAGACGTGTTGCTAGAAAGACTATGCAATAGCAGTGATCGGTCGTTTTGAGAAAAAAAGTAACAGCTTTTTCTTTTTGTGTCAATTTAGGCTGGTAGTTTGCCAACGGAATAATTACTCAGCACAGCGTTCCGGAGTGTTCAACATTTTAAACCTAATGGGCACTGCGGCAGCCTCCCTTGAATATCTGATGACTCTTCAAAATGTGATTATGTAAAGTCTTCCAAGATAAAATGAAGGCTGGAGAGCTTAGGCGTAGGCTGATCTTCCGTTTCACCGCATTTTGTTGTGAGGAGTTGGCGTACCTAATTCACCTCGCCAAAGTAGAACTATGGATAATCGCTCACAAAATCGTTAGTCCCATTGTTATGGTTGGTAGTTTACTTCGGTTTCGGTTTTTTAATGGCCTAAGATTGACATCATCAGACAGTACACAGTCCAATATCGCTTCCACACAGCCCAATTCCCCGACTTACAGGGTGATTCATAGCCGTGTGACCGAAAATAAATGAAAACTACAGGAAATGCATTCGTGTTACATGCCATTCCCAAGTACCATATTAAACAGCCAAATCTGAAGTTTTGATCCATGTATAGCATCAGTCACAAATACTTTTCCTTCGACTCTCACACATCTTTTAGACAAGATGTTCACAATGGCCACCTCGGCGACGGATGCACTCCAGCGCCAGAGCCTAAAGTTGGCGATGGCGCGGACGCACAACATTTCTAAGGAAATAGAACCAAAGCAGCTTCCAATGGCATCCTTCAGCCCCAGAATATCCTGGGGACTCTCCTCATAGATCTCAGACTTTGCTACAGCCCCAGAGGAAGAATTCCACGACATTGAGCTCCGGCGAGTGTGGCGCCCACCTGACCTCAGCGCTCTTTGAAGTCAACTTTCCGGGGTTCGCTTACCAATTTTTTTTTGTGCCGTGTTTATCACTGAACCCGTGCCCTCTGCTTTGAATTGATTAACGATTCTATGAATTGTTATCTTCTTTGGAGTTTCCCTTGGGTGCAAGCCCTCAGACGTGCAGAAACATCTTTGTGTTTGCTTGACGGACTGCGTTAACCTATACAAATTACACATTTTTACTTTTTGCTGCGCTATGTACATCTTGAACGATACACACAGACCAGACCAAGATAGAACAAAACTTCATAAAATTTTCTACTAGCACGTGAAATTTCACGCGGAAATATGCAATCCTCTTCTCAAGAGAGATCAACTAAATAGGTCACATGGCTATGAATCACCCTGTATATGCCACAGTTTGCACGTCCACTGCCACAGACTGCAGGTCATCACGACAGAACTATAGACACTGCGAAATTATGGGGTTTTGACTGGTGTCCTCCCCACTCAGGTCCGCTCAACATTCCAACCCTCAGCCAAAGGTGCCGCCTCGCTGATAGAAGGCCTAAAAGCGTTACAGAAAAACAGTCGGTGGTTTAAACCTAGCTCGACCTATCGTTTTTTTCCCCAATTCGCCCCAAACGGAGTTGAAGTTTTGATAAAAACAAACAGCGTGCCATCCGTTACGAGCCAGATCGGACTGCAGCCCGATAAAAGAGTCCCTCGGCCGGTAAGGGTTACGAATCCACGTAGAACCCAACTAACAATTAATTGAATAGCCTCTGAATTGATGAGATATTTACATTTTATATGGTGACATTGCTTTGGATCTCCAAGACCAGTAAGCTCGCACATGTAAGGCCAATAGACTTCTGTTTCCAATTTACCAGCTCGTCACTGAACAAAATACGAGCGCCATATTTCTGCCAATCGGTGATCACCATTGGGTGTTTGTTCCCGGCGAACAGCGACGTTACAGGCCACAGGCGAGCGTCGCTCGTCGTTCGGCAGCAGCCTGTTGCGCCTTCGAACGGGTGGATTAAAAGCCCTGTCCAGGGGGTCGATGGCGGTCACAAAGCCGCGTCGACCCAGACCGATTTCGCACCGCACCAGCGCTTTTCGAGCGGGTAGTGGCGTGTCAGCGGCTCCCGACGACTTTAGTGCGACGTTTGCGACGCATGCCGCAAGAGACGGCGTTAACTGCACGCAGGGCAAACGTTCGATCCGAGGTTCAAGGCCCCACCCAGCAGTCTGGAGAGATGAAACGAATGCTAATCTGCGCGGTGCATCCTACTTTGTCGTATAAAGCCCAGTTAAAAGGTTCAGCTGTTTTAGCGGACAAGTAGGGAATAGAACAAGCGGACGCTTCTCTCTCTTTAGTTACAAAATAACCATCCTGCGGCGAATTTATTAGGGGTCTTACTTAAAACATAAGACTCAGTTTAAATGCAAATTTAATGGGAAAGCTAGCGAGCCTTTAAAAACAAAGCTCTCTCCTAGGATGATGAGACTTGATTCTACGGTACATTTAATTTTACAAAACGAGACGCAACGTTCTCAATTTTTCAACAAATGAACATTTGACTATAGGCGTGCGGTTGGCATGTAAGTGCTCACTATTCAGTTCTAGCTTTCTGTTCAAATGTAGCATAAACTCGCGCAGAAAATAAAATGCCCTCAGTCCTCAGTGAAGCCAGATCATAAGCCCTCCTCGGCAGCAGATGGTCGCTTTGGCGCAGCTGCGCGGCACTATTCTATGAATGAGTGAGGTGATTCTGATGACAGTCTGCGTCGCTGCCGCCCGGCCCGCATCAGGGGGGCACCGACCCGCATCACCCCCCCCCCCCCGCCTGTCTGATGCGGACTCGGGGCCAGGGCCGACAGAGGGTGAGAATGGACGGAACGAATAGTGCGACTGATAACTAACAGGGTATGAGAGTGAATCGGATTGTTTAGGTGGTGTGTCGCTGATTCACTCCTTGGAGACTTTGTATGTGTTGTTAGGTATTCGGATGTGTGTTTTGTTAGGATTAAGTGCGACAACAATGAAATGCACCGATCTAGAACATTGCTGTAGTGTATGAAAAAAATGATGTGCATATTTCATTGCTCGTCGAAGATTCTTCACTTCCAGTTCGTTCAACAGTAGCGGAGGCGTACTGGAGAAACTTGAGTAATGAAAACGTCCAAATCACAAAGAAGAGCCATTTTATTCGTTGCATAAAAACATCCTCAGGGCAGAATAACAGATGTAAGTGGCAGATTCGCCTACTCAGCAAGAATTCTGATGTTGCTAGTTGTAGTTCAAAGGACAAAAGCCTAGGACGTCGATCCATTTACAAGACAAGTTTCTCGGTCAAATTAGAGCCCGGTCAATAGAAGGACCGTAAACAACACGCAAAAACGCGCAACTCGTGGCAGAAAATGTCAGACTAGCACACCATTCATTAGTTACGATTACGTTGCGTTTACTGCAAGTGTCTTTCAGAGCTTTGCATACAACGTTGATAAAACGGAGCTGAGGTAAGACTGAGAGGTAGATGTTTGAGAAGTGAAAGGTTTGAATAATTATGTTAGTTGCCTTTCGAAGGCGGTGCAAATTGCGCTGATATGTGATGCTCTGACAAAACAACTTAATACGCATGATATCACGTGAACTACACCGTTCCACGATAATAACTGATGCATACCATGAGCAAAACCATGGTCCACTATCGTCAGGGCTATAATAAAATTACTGACCAATCATCTGTACAAGCCCACTGCTGGTTGCCTTGATGGCTTTGTTTGTTGGTCTCTTCAACGCAGCTTTGTCTGTCACGCTATAACGGCTGTATTTGACCAAACCACACCATCCGGTTTTCTTGTGACAGCTATTGGGCCCGCTCTGAAATACGGCGGCTCTTGTGTCGAGAGTGAGCTATAATGGGACTCCACAGGTCGCAGCTGCGGTGGTCGCTGATAGCAGTGTCGGGCTGGTGGCAGCTCGGGCGTTACAGTCCACTTTTTCAGTTCTATAGACAGTCCACTTCAGTGACCAGCGACAATTGTTCCTCTACATCCGAGCGAATGACGTCCGATGCTGCACGGAAACGACCGGTGTGTATTGAGGGGAACGAAACGATCGGCCCAGCCAGGCGCCTTTTTCCTTTTCAGAGACAGAGTCCTTTTCAGCGCTCTGATTCACTTATTATTTACCTTATCTTGTCTTTAATTTGTTATTTGCTTATGTACCTATCTTATTTGTCTTTTTTACCAAATGTCGTGCGGAAGCTTGTGGTGATGATGGTAATGAATTACCATATCTTTCAAGAGTTAGCACGTCAAGAATTGACTATCAACAAAATCGAATGTTTATATTTAACCATTATTTATTCCTTGCCTTGTGCATTGAAGAGTTCAATTTCTGTGGATTGCGCTTCGTAAATTGAGGGTTCATACCAGCTCTATTTGCCAGAGCTCTGCATGATATTTTAGGTTCTAAATACCGCACATCAATGGCCGAAAGCAGCGTCGGTGGCGATGCAGCGAGGAGCTCCAACGATTACCAAGACGCCATCCCCCGTCCAAATATTGACAGAGAGCAGGCAAAGTTTGGGCGCCAGCTGGGGGTCGCCCAGCTTTATTTGTCTGCAGGGAAATCGTACGCGATATCTAGTGAGGCGAGAAGAGCGCTGGGTATGTGCTTATAAGCACATACCCAGCGCTCTTCTTATAATTCGTCCTCAATGAAACGGTACATAACCATTTACTTTTTTTTAGTAAAATTGCACAGCATATACTCGAGTAAAAAACTATCCATATTTCATTCGACAATTGCATGACTCCATTTCGGTCTATTTTTATTAGCGAATGATTGTTTTGCAGCTTCAGCACATGTGCTTGTTTTACACGTAATTGTGTGGAACCTGCGTGACTTTTTGAAAAACCTGCATTTACTTGGACAGCTTTGTGCGTCCAACCTCCCATTCTTTTGAAATAGTGGTATCTGTTTCGAACGGTAAACTGCACTGTGCTTCCAGATCTAAAGTGATCGTTTCCTCCATTAAAATTATACATCCGTTTCTGGCTTACCACATATGTACAGGTCTCGCGGGTTTTAGCGGTAGGTTTTGCCTTCGTTAAAGCCATCAAGTTTCCGGCTATATCTTATTCGTCTTAAGCGTTTTACGGTTGAAGATACGATCGAATTATTCGTATACATGCCTGCCATGATCCTCTAAAATGTGTTCATCGTATACCGATTAGTTTCTAAGCTATAGCCGGAAAACTCATAAATTTAACGGGGGCAAAACCTACCGCTAAAATCCGCGAGCTCTGTACCTACTCTGCTGTCAATCAAACTAAGTTATTTTGAATGGGAAATTCCACAAAGGAAGGTTATAGATTTTGACTTTTCTGCCGAATGGTTGGGATTTTGACTTTTCTGCCGAATGGTTGGGTGGGTATAATGGGCATTGTGCAGGTTTTACAGATACGGTATCGTAAGCAGGTTAGGTATAGCCGTATAGGCATTACTTGCACCCACTTCTTTTTTCATTAAAGGATCGTTTAGCAAAAGGCGAGACACATGGTGTTACAACCACTGTGGATTATAAAGTAGGTATCGCGGCGACGCTTTTGAACCCGGTTGAATGCTACTCGAGCCACAGGCTCGAATTCAACGCACTCCATCTATTTAGTTCAGTCAGCAACGTTGACGAGAGATCTTTTGCCGGACTTAAGGTAGTTGGTGATGAACTTGTGCGACTGGCCCCGACGCAGTGAATGTAACCTCGCACATTGTATGAAAGCAAATCCTAGATTCACTAGAAGCACCAAGTCTAACATATAGCGTTGCCAGCCAAAGTATGCTTTTGTTTGATTCGCCCGCTTTCACAACGAATTCAAGAGCATCCGTTCATTGCGGGAATCGGCGACTCAATAGCTGAGAACAAACTCTAAGAGCTAATCGGACCTGCTAAACACTCATCGGCACGTCGTCAAAGACGCCTTTAGCCAGCAATGTTTGGGTGAAAGGACGAGTAGATCCTGAACCCGGAGCTACAGCGCTTTATTGACTTATCCAGGGCCTTGACTTATCAAGTGTTCGAGGTGCTGCCACCAATAAAGGCCTCTATGTAGTTGCGATGGGTGCGAGGACTCACCGGACGAGAATGAGTCGCAACACGCTCACCATGACAATGGACAATAGGGTTCTGCGACACCTGAGCGAGCGTCATTTCAGTGAACGACATTTGAGCGAAGCCTTTTCAGCGATTATCAATTTAAGCGATTGACTTTTTCAGCGATTGTCAAGTCGGCGAATTCAATCACAGCGATTATCAAATGCCAGTTAAAGGTAGTGTGCCAGCTTTCTTGGACCGTATGGAGTTAATGGCCCAGATAAGGAGAACCGGATTTTTAGAACTTATCCATACCTTCAAAACTCATTGAAACGTCTTAAATTCTTCAAATTTTGAGTACCTCAGTGTGAAATTCGCCCCGACGGGTTGTCGGTCGTACCCCAACCACATTTCACACCACTATGAACAATAAATGCACACACTGAAATCGCTATTACCGATATGCTCATCCAATCAAGTTTCGATAAACCCGTTCATCATCATCTCCTGCGGTTTCGAACACGCCTGTTAGGTGGCTTCTGATGCTCGTCGAGGTCGGAATTTCCAAATACGCGTGGTGCGTCGGGCCGCGCGCTCTGACTTCGGCCAAGAAAAATGCGTCAGCTGATCATTGTCATTTCTGCCACTTGCGTGTGGTGAAATGGGGTCATAACTTATAAGACGGCTTTTTCATATCAATTATTTTACATAAAATCATATTTCAAACCATAAATAATGTTCGACAGCCAAATAAAAGAAACAATACCAATACGGGCTTACAGTTTAAGGCTCGACATTGTGTTGTCTACGATTAGACAGCTGATAACTCATTCCCGTACGTCGTATGGTCGTAACACTATAATGACCTTTGCTTATTGTCACAAGTGCGCCGCATTCGCGATTGTTGCCCGACGCCTGTTTGCAGGTGAGCCCACTACAGTTGTTATACATATCTAAAAACCGAAAAACTTTTAGGCGAAAAAGGCACTATTCCAGGCCCATTTTTGATTTTTTTTGCGATATTAGGTAAAAACAGAAGCTTCTTATCCTAGGAAAAATAAAATGGGAAATCTTTCAAAGGTGGCACACTACCTTTAATGGTAACGCCGCATCCTTGCTCAAACGGGTATCCGCGGTTGGCCTCTAGAGCCGCGCCGGCCGGCACTGTCGAGCGGTGATCCGACCTGGACCTCGTTTCATAAAGCGAGTCCGTAACTTACGCCGTTTTTTGGGCTTGTATTGCAAGCGCTTGTGAAGCGATAAGTTTATTTGCTCTTCTCCCTTCTGTTGTTGCTTGCAAGATTAATAAATTTAACGATTCAAACTATCGTCATCGCTTCACATGCGCTTGCAATACAAGACCAAAAACCCCCGTAAGTTACGGACTTGCTTTATGAAACGAGGCCCTGACCTCGCCGGAGGGTTCGTGACGTCACCAGCGGACCGCCGCGCCGTGAGTGGGGCGGCTGAGGTCCACTCAACGCGGCATCACCGTTCCATGCTTCTATCCTCAGGATACTGAAATCCTTCTCCTCCACACCGCCACCCCCCTCCGGGCTGGACAGGCAACTTTATCTCATGCGGGCTGCTCCCTTGGAGCGGCACCGCTGCTCCCGAGGGAGCGCACCCCGTAGCCGGGTGCAGTGAGTGCCTTGGGGCTGGGAGGCCTGTCCTCGGACGGGCTCAGCCCCGGCGACTCACTAGGGTGCCTGCCCAGACCAATGTCTCCCCCTAAATCCTATCATCCTCCCGGCTCTGAAATGGTCTTACTGGACCGAAAGGGCCTAACCCAACAAAACAAAAACAAACAAACAAACAAACTCAACGCGGCCCGGGCGAGTGAAGCGGACCAGCAGCGGTCGCTGCTGAGCACGTTTTCCTCCACCCAACCCTCCAACCATCTGCGTTGGTTTTACTTACCTTCATTTCCTTACCTCGTCGACCGTCTCCTCTCTCTCTTTTAACGATCGCCTGGAAGGTGAATAGGATATAAGGGAGAGAGAGACGGCCGGCCGATAAACAGCCAACACATGAGTATGGAGCATACGATGCCGAAGCGTTAAGGGATTAACTAAAGATAACGCCAGTTATCTTAGTTGCTATGGAGACAAGGACTCACCGTATGAGAATGAGTCGCTCCACGGTCACCATGACGATGGTTGCTATGGAGACGGTGGTGGAGATGGAGCCGATGCCCAGGTAGAAGTACACCTCGAACACCTGCCACCAGAAGCTGGCGGCGGCCGCCCCCTTGGCGATACCGCTAAAGAACACCAGCAGACATGTGACCAGATCCGCCACTGCCAGCGCTGAAAACAACGAGAATTTTGTTATCAGCCAAGAGTCGCATCTTCGCCTGTCAGGTCAAAGGGTTGAAATGAAAAATTGCTCAAGTTATCATTAATCTGTACAAAGTCAAAGAATTCCTTAATTTCATCCCGGAAGAACAGTCTTAAAAGGAAATCTTATTATAACTTTGGTCTTAAAACTGATGAGCAGTTTCACTTTGAGCTGAAAATAGCATAGTTCAGGAGTTTTTACGGCCCACGGTTAATATCACCAAAGACATAAGAACTTTAGATCGATGTTGTCTTTTCTAACCATGTGACTAAAATATATTTTGTCGAGACTGACTACTTACAAATTCTGATGAAGCAAATAATAATTATGCGAAAATAAAACAAGCCATCTATAAACCCGATTATAAGACCCATTAGGTCGGCACAGCACGTACTAAACCAGTCCAAAATACGCCACTGCACTATCTATTGACCCAGTCGATGTCAGAGGGAGTAGGCCATGTGACGGGTCGCCACCCACCCGTCGCGCGGCGGGTCGCCCCGATAAGCTCGGCTGTGGCTAATCGACGGCTCTGGCGGCGGTAAACAAGGGCTCGGCTGCGCCGGTAATCACCCACTGACCGTATACACCCACATCCGCCCTCTCCGTGATGGGAGAGCCGGGTCGGCGTGATGGGAGAGCGGCGGTAGTCAGGGGAGAGGACCTTAGCACAACAGAGGTGGCTTGATCCGCCTGGAGCTCGCGTAGGTTCTAATTCATGTGTTTTTGTGTCGATTGACATAATGTTTCTGAGAGTCTGATCAGCTTCCTTTCGCTTTGTGTTAAAATTTTGTCCTCAGGTCATGGCAATTGAGGTCACCATGCTTATCATGGTTAGGTATGTGACCTGCTGAAGGGAGACTGACGCATTGTGATCTTGACCTACGTTGATATTTCGACCGACTCTTTCGGAATTTCCACGATGGCATAAGTCCATCGGATATCTTTTTTAAATTGTAGTTCAACAAGGCCTGTTCAAGGCCCGTGGAAACCAATTTCAAACACCGCTCCAACTTCTAAACTGCGCAGCGCTGTCTGGAGCTAATGCAACGAGCTGTCTTCTTCGCAACGAGACGAGAAATAAATGAAGATTACCGCCAGCACGGTGTGATGCATTGAGAGGATGTCCTGACTCCTGAATTTGAACTTCGGTGTTTAATGTAACAACTAAAGGTAAGCCTTGTAGTTTTTCTTGTGGGATAAGCTGGACTTCCATCATTGCCACTGTTCTACAAAATGCTCATTAACCAACTGTGCTGAAAAGAACCCGTGTAGTGATTTAGAAAGTCAGGTAATTGCCACTGAACAACATACTTTTACAGCCGCGTTATGGAGGTCAAGTGAAAAGTTTACGTATCTCTTGGAACTCCCAATTGTTAAACTTTTGCTAGTTTGTTTGCTAAACTGCGGCTCTCGCCCGAGGTAATGAAATTGCTTCAAGATTGATGAGTGCAAAAGGAGAGAATATGGCAAGACAAATCACCTACAAGCACCAACCATCTTCCTACCTTCCGCCATGATAAGAGAGCCTCCTATATGTGAAAGTGCCAGCATCATAACAGTTAATAAGGGTGACAAATTTCCCCCGGTCGCTAAAACTCCCCACATTCCTGTCAGCGGACTCACTAGTGAAGTAGATGTAGATGGGCGCCTTCATCTGTCCCCGGGTGAGCACCAGCAGGTTGAGGATGTTGCCCAGCACGCCGCACGCCGATACCGTCGGCACGATGATGTTGTACGCCACGTACTCCATGAAGAGGATGTCCGATATCGGCTCCGTGGTGCCATTGTAGGTCATTGCGTCGGCCCGATGACCCGAGGTCGTCACCGTGGGGTGGTGAGAGGGAGAAAGATTCAAATATGGTTAGGACGCTACGGAGATTGCAGGGCGAAAAGGTTATGTCATGGTGATGGTGGGTTACTTTCAGTGCCAGTGAGACTTTGTAACTCGGTGGTTGGGTTATCTGGGGTGCTGAGGGAACGGGTGCTGGCGGATTCTGGTCGTAAAGCTGAGTTGTGGGCTTATTAAACCTGAAAAGTAGATATATGGTGGTTGTAATTTTACATTACGATATAAAACAGCAGCTGTTAGGCGCCAGAGCACAGCTGAATGTTACCTGCGGATTGCTGTGGCCAGCTTCGAACAGTGAAAACAAATGCCAGTTTAAACTGAACAACAGCTGCAATTATCTTTCAAATCTGGTAGCAATTAACTGGTCTTACTCTTGTATAAAACACATCACCCATGCTTTGCATGGAAGGGTTTAAGATCAAATGAAATAATTACTTCATATTTGTGATAATTATTAATCATTGCTCATTAGCTTGTGGATAATGGTCGGCAATAAGGTAAAATAATCGTTTAGTTACCAAAAAACAGAAGCAGAAACCTAAACACAGTTAACACGTCAGAAGCAATCGTCTGATCGGCCGATTATCCGATCAATTGTCGATCCCTTTTATCTGTTTTTGGATATCTATATCTGATTGTTGGGGCTGTGTGTTTCGTACTCTGCCTAAGCGGCAGACTCTGAGAGTAGCTGTTGGTCTTCCGGCCACGATGTGTTTGCGTGTACAGTTGCAGTTGTGCGTGCATCTGTGTGCACGCTGCATATGAAGGGCCCCAGTCTCTCCGGCGCTAAAACCTGTTTTCGCTGTCAGGCGAGTCGTTTTTGGCGTGACTCTGAGTTCGTTGTATAAATGTGCTAAAGTAATGAGTTACAGAAATGATAAATGCTCGACGTTTTGACACGAATGCTGAAACCAATTGGTAAAACTGAAGAGAAAACAGCAAAGTAAAGATATTGAAAAGGAAGCGGTTTGCAATTACGCAGCTCTCCGCTTGAAGCTCGACAATCCATTCATTTCAAGTATCCCATGGGACACGGATTAGGTGCGGCATAGCCTCATGATGTAGCCGTTTGTCATTTTTTTCCTTATATTGAACTAACAATCACATAGTAGTTAATTGCGATGATATTGTATCGAACGCTAAATCTATTCACGGGGCTGCTTCCGCTATCCCCTATATCATACCACCCTACCATAAATTACACAACCGAGGTAGAGCCGCCAACCATGACGTTATAGGTGACGTAAGCGGCCTTGGGTCGTTTGGGGAGGGATTCGATCGGCCCCATAATTAAGTGCGTTATCAGGGGCGTGCGTTGTGCGTCCGGTCGGCTGGCGCTCATCGCATCGGTCGAAGATATACGCACCAGCTGCTAGGCAATCTGCTGGAGATCTATGAAAAAGCTGCAGGCTCAGCGAGACGACGCTGGATCAGCTATGGGAAGCTCGTGTGCTACCGGTACAATACGATCCGATGACCGGAAAAAAAGCATTGGGTCCCATCTGAAAAAAAAGTTCACAAAGGTTTTCCTTGCTTTGGCTTTGCCAAAATCAAGACAAACGCAGAACGTATACAAGCCTAAGTCACAGCCAGTGCATGAGAAGATCGTAGTTAGTTTTTAATTTGCTTCTGGATTTCGTCCATCTTGTAGTGCAATAGTGCCGGGTTTGTTTTCGGATAATTGCTAATGACTTCGTAAAGCAGCATTATTCAAGCATTCATTATGACCTCATTGCACGTGCAGTTCTGGCAGCTACCTTCGTCATACGGCGGCCGCGCGACTAGCGTCTCCCGTCAGTTCTGGAATTGAATTCCCCGCCGACGTGCGCGTGCGCAATATCCGCCATCATCGTTTTTTGTCCTTTCGCTTCGCGGTCGCCGGAGGTGCACGTGGGTTGGTGAGCAGGCTGGCGTTTGGCAATTTATAACAGGTATACACGGATATCCGAGGCTGCGAGACCGGTGGGAGAACAACTATCAAGGTACGTTCGCTTCATTGCTTGCCCATCATGCGTTTAAGTAATCTGAAGTGACCTGTCTTGACCAGTCACAAGACGAGGCCCCAATACACTGCCGGATTCAGCCACGAAATTGTCGCCGAGGCCCAAATCACATCGCAGCAAAATTCGGTGATAAGATCGCCATGCCTCCCCTTAGCTTCGTCTCATCCTCCGCCCCCTTTCAGCGACCAGCGTCCCCCTTTCTCGTTGTCCTCTCTGTCTCCCTTCTCTATCTCCGTCTCCATCTCCATCTCCACCAGCGTCTTTGTCTTCATCACCGTCCTTGTCTCCGTCTCTCTCTCTCTCTTTCTCTCTCTCTCTCTCTCTCTCTCTCTCTCTCTCTCTCTCTCTCTCTCTCTCTCTCTCTCTCTCTCTCTCTCTCTCTCTCTCTCTCTCTCTCTCTCTCTCTCGTCTCTCTCTCGTCTCTCTCTCTGTCTCTCTCTCTGTCTCTCTCTCTTCTCTCTCTCTCTCTCTCTCTCTCTCTCTCTCTCTCTCTCTCTCTCTCTCTCTCTCTCTCTCTCTCTCTCTCTCTCTCTCTCTCTCTCTCTCTCTCTCTCTGTCTCTCTGTCTCTCTGTCTCTCTGTCTCTCTGTCTCTCTGTCTCTGTCTCTGTCTCTGTCTCTGTCTCTCTCTCTCTCTCTCTCTCTCTCTCTCTCTCTCTCTCTCTCTTCTCTTTCTTTTATTTTAGTTGTGATATAGCTGTCCTGTCTGTGTCGGCCATCCCACGTGCCCTTTCCATTTGCAGTTTTCCCTAAATATGTTTAATGCATGTCTCTTTTCAGATAGCGTCCCGAAGGCCATCGCCTGGACACTGGGCGACGCCCTGGATATATTCCTCAACGATGGCGATGGTCCTGGTGCTGTGGTGGCCGGCGGCACTGTCTTCATCGATGGAGTAGAGCCTAGAGGTGGCGGAAGTGACAGCGAGGGACACTCTCCTCGTATGGGTCGTGGCCCTCTTCGTCTTCTCTCTCAAATACCCCACGGGCTCTCGGTCCACCTGGCGCTATCTGTCGTATCATGTCTTGGGCGTCGAAGACGAGGCGCCCAAAAACAGAGTCAGGCAGCGCTTCCATGGTGAAGTCATGAAGCACATGCTGTTTCTCGCCGTGAGCGTGGCCCTGAAGGGTGGCGCCGGTGCGGCGGCCCGGCAAAGTACGGGTAGCCGCCGGCGTGGCATTGTTTGCAGCTAGTCCAGAGACCGCGTTTTTTTCTTCTGGCATAGAGCCAGACCGCGTAACATGGCAGGCATGATGTGGAAAACTGGTGTGATAACATTTCCTGTCATTCGTGTGTAATGAGCTCATGGAAAACTACGCTCGGAAATGTTATTTAGCGTTTTTTTTTTTTTTAATAAATGATCTGGAAATCAAACTCTTATCTTTTTTAAGCTTTGGTCGAGAGGCGCAACGGAATATCGTACCTATGTGAAGTGGGTGGGAGGGGGGGGGGGTGAGGGAAGGGGGTTAGTACCAGGCTAGTGAATACCTGGTATTTGGGTTGGTAAGCTCGCTGTATTGACTTGGTACAGATATTGTACATCATAAGTATAAACCTTGCACAGACATGATAGTGGGTTAGTTGGAGAATGCGCAACTGTTAGTTGTACCTTTGGTGGCATTGCGAAGTGTATGCTAAGCATTGGTTATTCTATTGTTTTCCAGTTGTTTCCCTTTGGTTCCTGTAATGCCTAGCACTAGTACACGCGTTGTTGTGGCTTGGTTACTGAGTGCTCGCTGGTTTTGGGTTGGTTAAATGACAAATATTTTGGAACGCAAAGTTTTCCCTTGACATGACTTCGTTTATTAGGTCGTAGTTAGTCAATATTTTTTTCAGTGGCGAGGATACACACTGCTCAGTGCTGAATCTAAGGAAGGTATTTAGGACTACCGTTTCCCTCGCTTCAAAGAAAGTTAAACATTTGGAAGGAAGTTTGCAATATCTAGGTCAATGGAGACGAAATCCATGGCCTGCTATTTGTAAAATGCACTTATTTGACCGAAATAGCATGGCAGCGTCCATGAATCTCACCTTTACTGTCGCATCATCCAATTTCACCATTATACTGACCCACCAGTGGGCCTACAATTTTCGTTCATGGTCTGTGCTCTGCAGGTTGACGCAATGGCTGTGCCTGGACTGGAGTGTCTCACGCCACGTCCAATAGGGACAATCTGCTACAAAACACAATAGCGACAATCGTGTGTTGAACAGACACAATAGGAACGATCTTGTGCTGAGCAGACAGCGTGAGAAAGCCTGGCATTGGCAATAGCCGGGTAAAGAAGTGCGGCCTTCCAAACATAATAGCTATCCCGCTGATCGCGTCTGGCTGGCCCAAACGAAAAGCCTTTGCTGTCAGTGAATAATGTCGAAAAGGGATGTAATTTCTGATGCTGCAAGAGCAGGAGTTGAGCGAAAAGGATCAAAATGTTGCTTCAAAATTCAGATGTCCAAAATATACGGTAGTGAATTAATAATTATATTATACATAATGCATAGAATGTATGATGTTTCTGTGTGATAGGGTGAATAGGTCAAAAACGCCCCCATTAAGCGCGAAACCTTCTGACACTCAACCCAACCCAGATTACTCAAACCTTTGGGCACCATCATGTAGCTCATTCTTTTTACTACGCTTTGAGACCAAGAAAAGACACTTGCGTGTGGTATTTAACCCCCCAAAAAGGTTTCCGCATACCCTTACAAAAGGGCGTTTTGCCCCACACCCTGGGTAATACGCCCACACCCATGTGCAAAGCGCCCCCACCCCATCCATCAACAGAAAATGATGAACATGGCAGAACTTGACGTCATTCTGACGTCATTTGTGGTTAACCTATCATAGCCTTTGGAATAAAATGTTGTTGCAATGTGTAAAATGGATGCCCGGAGGAGTCCTGAAAGTTTGGTGACGATATCTGCAGTCGTTTAGGATATATCAGCAAAAAAGGACAGGGAGAGGCCTTTTCGGCCCCGACCTACAGGGCGCTACCCTGCACTCTCACCACCGTGCAAAACGCCCCCCTTTCAGAAAACTGGGGGCGTCTTGCCCCATGCATCGAGTAGGCGTCTTTCCCCATCCACTCCATTTCCGGTCAACAGAATATTGACAAAAAACGCGCCACTAACGCCGTAGCATAATAAATTCAACAGAATGACAATAAAACGCAGTTTTGAGTGATGTGCACAATAGCAAGTTTTGTGATATAAAGAGGGCATCAAAAGCTTAGGAATCTTCTGTAAAAACAACAAAAACAACACCCAAAACCAACATCAGCACCTACCTACGCTGCTCCTCAAGACGCAGAACCGAAAATAGAGAACTACGTAAACAAGCAGCTGACTGTTCTGAAAGACAGGATAAAACACCTATCCGCCGATAAGATCTACGATTTTTTTAGGGGAGGCGTTTAACCCAGGGGTGCGTTTTCCCCACAGTTACCCTAACAATTAAATCATGGCGTCGACAATCAGCGATTATTTGTTGAAACGCGTGCTTTAAAATTTAACCTGTCATTAGTCAATAGCCGTTTTCACGACGGCCATCTGGTACACATTTGGTGCACATTTGGTGCAGATTAGGTGCATATTTGGTCAAATTAGGTTCAGTGTATCTTTAGTAGCTATTAGCTAGGGTTGCGCTAATTGCTTATATTACCTGCTTTGTCATGTATTATCAGAGAGTATCATCGATTAAAACACTGAAATGAATTCATTAAATGAAGATATTTGCTGTAAAAGAGATTAGGTGCAGATTTGGTCAAATTAGGTGCATTTGCCGGATAGCCCGTCGTGAAAACAGCTAATATGTATCATTTCATGGAATATTTACTCACAAAAAAACAAAAGCTGACTGCTGAAGCGCTGATAAAAATTCTGAAATGATAATTTAACAGACTTCTGCCCTGCGTTTTAACCCGGCACCGCCTGGGCTATTTCCGTACCCACATCAGCCTGGGGGGGTCGGATCCGACCCCCCCCCTGTTATCTCGAGAACCAATGGTCGTATCGAGCCCCGCGAGGCGGCGTTCGAAAGGTCTCTACGAGACCTTCCCAAAGCACTCTTAAGATTTTAAGATTGAGGTCAACTTTCGGGTCAAGGTCAGGTCAAAGGTCAAATTCAGGGGTTTTGCATGATTAGGCTTACGGACAGCGGAATCGATAGCTGCTGCTCGAAACTCACCACAAATGACCTCAAAGACCTAGTGAAGGTACCATGTGCGTATAGGGGTCATACTAAGTACGGGTCAAGGTCAGGTCAGGTCACGAAAGGTCACGGTTTTCACTTTCTGCTACATGGGCGTGCGACACATGTTTTATGGCTTATTTTTGACGCCAAATCCGATGGTAATGGTTATATGTGACCCCAAGTCACTGTGCTGGTGATAAGTGTGCATTGAAAGCATAAAAAATCGTTTATACCATACATAACTAAACGAGGGCTAAGAAAAAAAGTCAATTTTTCAACTTATTATTTTTGACATAAAAATGCACTTTTCTAGACCAGCTTTGTCCCAGGAATCTAGTGGTGCCATTTGTTTTCACATGCGATGTTCAGAAGTGCCTCTAATTCGCGAAAATGCTGATGACGTCACCATGCCCTATGCATGTTGGAGCTATTTTTTACAATTTGGGGGTCAAAAATCAAGATAGAAAGTTGAAATTTGGGACATCTAATGTTCTAATAGAGCTCTATAACATATATTCCGGTTTTTTGGAAATTCTCAAAATTTTGGATTTTATTAGCTGTTTTCCAAAAAATATAGTTTTTTGAATTTTTAGGGGTGAAAAACGCATTTTATGGAAAATCCGAGATAGCCATTTTAAAGAACTCGTTGAGCTGCGTCTTTTCATGTCCTTAATTTGCAATTTGCTTAAAACCTCGATTTTTGGCGATTTTTTAAACATTTACCATTTTTTGACTGAAAACGCCATGTAGTTACATCACTAAAATCGATATATCTCAGAAATTTTTGAAATTTTTTTCTTAAAAATTGCACAGGAGACGTCAAATTGATGGGGCAGAAGGTATGCGCAGTTTCAAGTTGATAGCGCAAGCGGTTCATGAGTTATTCAAGAAAAACGGAGGGGGGGGGGTCGGATCCGACCCCCCCCCAGGCGGTCGCGGGTTAATGGTGACATACCGACTTATTTCGAATGATTTACTGGCGTAAGGTGTAAAATTTTACAGCAAATGGGAGCGGAGCACCTAAATAAGGATTACTGATCATGGTAGCCAAAATTGGGCAAGGATACCAAGGTGCAGAGTAAGCTCAGTTGGTCACTATAGATGCTTATTGGTTATTGGCTATTGAATATATGTTATCGTAAGGTCGTGGCTAAGTGGATCACATTGACAGAGACGTATGACGTATGCTTCGTAGACAGCTAAATTTCAGAGAGTGTCAGAGTTTTACCTCTACGGCTACGTTACGTTCTTCGTCAGCTTTATATATTTTTATTTAAATTTATTTGCGCAATCGACGTACAAATCGCTTATTGTAAACAGGACCTCGGATTTTTTTCTTTATAACCTTTCTATCAAGCCACAGTGCTGATTTTTCCACTCGAGTTGTTGTAGCGCATGACGCATCAAAGCCTTCCCGGGACGTAAAACCCAGAAAACGAGATCGTACATAAACAAGCCATTTCAGCGTCAGACATGCAATGCTTGTCGAGACGTCGTGTTGTCGCCCATCACTTACCTCTGCCACTCCCGCGCCGTATAATAATGTAAGTCTCGAATTCTAGGGTACCGCTGGTCGTCGGCTCTGCTGCGCGTGTCACACAGTGGCCCTCCGGCTCCAGACTGCGGTGCCGCCTCTGCCGCCAGAGCTCGTGCGTAAACCATCGGCACCGACGGCGTCGGCCCGTCGGCCCGTTGGTCCATCGCCCCGTCGGCCCGTCAGCCCATCGGCCCGCGTCGGTCGCGCTGGGAGGAGAGGTCACACCCGAACGAACACAGACGGAGGGAGTTATTGGCCTTCGATGTCAGAGTGCGGACATTAAGTGTCCGAGAACTGACATTTGATACACAGAGAGGGTATTGGCTCGCGCCTGTTTGTTGTTGTCTCCGTCCCTTACGTTTTCTTTTGGAAGCACCGACGCACAGGTAATCACCATTGCCAATCTACTCATACTTGCATGACCCTGCCCCCTCAAATGGATTCTTTACATTTTGTTCCGCATATTAGGCGATTTGAGAAGAGCTGGGGTCCAAACTCGTATGTATATCGGTATGACGGTGCATTTGTTTTTGTCTACTTTGTAATTGCTTTGTAGAATAGTTACTGGTTAGGAGAAAGAGCTGTTGCGCATATATTTTTGATGTGGATAAAACACGCGTGTAGCACCATATCATCGCCGAACTTGCTGCAATACGCAATACGCATACATACAACAACCACTTCCCTGAACGGTGCCAATCAGTCCCTATAGGTACCTACTCCGTAAAAAGGTAATATCGCAACAAAAAGTCCTCAGCAAAACCACTGAGAATTATGTCCTCAGCTTTCAAAAATAAGAAATTGAAGTTTGAATTATTAGCTTTTCAGTAACATTTACCCGATGACTGCAGTTGTGTGAAATGTCGGTGCCAAACTAACCTGTTGGCTGCACAGTCGTGGAAACACCAGCGCCCTCTCCTGGTACTCGATGCCAACGCCATCTCTACAGCTGCGTTACATCCTTCTCGGTCTTCACATCTTACTTTACCTGACCTGCAGTGCGTCTTCGTCGGTCTCGTTTACCCAAATATAACGTCTATCCTCATCCTTCGTCGCACTCCACCCGAGGAGCTTTCACAGAGAGATGAAACTTACATTACCTAGCATCCTCGAGAGGTCTCACAACATGTATATCTCGGATTTTTCTTAAGGGTCACCTGAGGTCAGGTGGCTCACGTGACATCACCATTCACCATTATAAAGCAATGGGGGAAATTTGGAAACTGTTAGTTTGGCACGGGAACGATCTAAAACTATATCAAATACACGGAATCGTGAGCTCATGTACTCCTTGCAAACAGCGATGATTTCCTTTTACATTCTTGACCTTTCGTGACGTCATTTATGACGTCACTAAGGTCGTGTGAGTTTTTCGTCAAAAACTCCCGATCATATTGATCTAGAGAATCGGAAAAGTCATCAATGGACTCGGGAAGACCCGCTAAATCGAATGATATGTGCTAAGACCTTTTTCGACCAACTTCGTGACCTGAGGGACTCTAACCCGAGGTCAACATCTTAAATTGACCACATCCGAACAAGTAGTGTACCTACTATTCGACGCGCCGGGGCTAAGCGAGTACGATTATGCCAACATCGCGGTTATGCGACCATTTTTGGCGAAGTTATTTACCAGTAAAACGCCTTTTGGGCGAAGAACGAGCGAGCGAGATAGTGAGCCCTGCACGTGCAGAAGGGCGGGAGGGTACTTCCAACGGGCTTGTGCAAAGCACCCTTCTAACCGGTCGCTAGCGGTGTACCAAATTTGAACGCAATCGGCCCAGCCGTTCCTGAGATCTGGAAGCGGCATTCTGCACGTGCGCACGTGCAGACGGGGTCCAAAATGACTTTTGCACGGCACCCTACTAACCGGTCCCCAACCGTGTACCAAATTTGAGCGCAATCGGCCCAGCCGTTCTCGAGATCTGGAAACGCCCCCTGCACGTGCGCACGTGCAGTAGCACCCTAACCGCAACACATGGGAATGCATTGCCTGGTGGGTGCCTACCTGTATGCCAAGTTTCAGCGAAATCGCCCCAGTAATTACCGAGTTACTGAAATGGGAACAAATTTGGCACCTCTTATTGTTGTATTTTGCACGTGCAGTGGGGGTCACTCACATAGATGAAGAGTATCCGACCTTTGGTAGAAGGGATGCAGCTACCCTATAAAAATGACCGCAAGACAATCGCTCAAGCCGCTGCGGAGATATGGGCCTCTCAAAATCATTACTTTTGCAAAACTGCTTGAACACCCTTGACTTTTCACGTGGCACGTGCCACGGCGCGGCGGTCACTGAGATGTATCAAAAGTAGTCAATTACGGGGTAGAAGGGATGGGGCTACCCAACAAAAAAGACCGCAGGCCATTCGGTCCAGCGGTTGCTGAGATATAAGCCTCTCAAAAGCGTTACAGGCCGGGCCGGGCCGGGCCGGGCCGGGCCGGGCCGCTCATACTGAGATTTTTCCGTTATATTGAAAAGACTCACTTCGCTCGCTGCGCTCGCTCGCTCGTAACCAGAAACCGAACTCGCGCCTTGGGCCACTTGACCTACCATCAGAGGTCACCGCTTGACCTGAGACCTTTAAATTGGGTACCGATCGCTAGGTCTTGTAACGGCGCAAACGCTCGTTTTTCCGAGATGCTCTAGCCCTATTACGAACAAAACGGCGAGGGGGTCGCCCCCCCCCCACGGCCAGGGCGCATGTAGGCAACCAAAAGGTCCGTCGAGCATTTAATTTGACGATCACTGCACCACACAGCCGATGGAAGGCATGACTAGAAAGAGACGCATCCCTCCAGCGGTCGATTTAATAAAAGGGCGTAAAATACGACTCACGCAGTTCATTCCATGCTGCATTTTACGCCCAAGCGGTTACAAAAAGGGATTGAGGATAAAATCAATGTCGATAAATGATATCAACTAGGTATTTAACCCGCGTCCCACGGGGGGGGGGGGGCGGGCTATTCATAGCCCTCTACCGTTTTTCTGCAATAACTTCCAAACCGCTTGACGTATCGACGCCAAACTTTCAGTACCTTTGTCTGCATCAATTTGACACCTTGTGTCAAATTATGAACTTCGTAGCTACCATAGGTCGGCCGGAAATGACGTCAGAGTGACGTCATGTTCGCCCGATTTCGACGCAAAACATTGAACCACGGCAATCGCTCCCAAGAGCTCAGTTTGTAAGCTAGATCCAATTTCTTTGCATGAGAATATGACTCAGAATAGACTGCGCTATCAAACTGCTATCTCGAATTTTCAAAATTTCGAAAATTTCGAAAATATTATAGAATAAAATTCAAAATTTATCATTTTATATTTTTCAGAAAGTTTTTGCCTTTTCGAAAAAACCGGAATATATGTGATAGAAAGCATGTTTATGACTAACATAGCAAGTTTCAGCTAAGTATTTTCAAAAATGGCTAAGTTAGTAAGTTATAGGTACGCATTATTGCAAAAAAATTCACAATTATTTTATTAATTTTTCAAATCAATTTTTCAGCACGTATTTGACATCGCACACCAATATAAATAGCACTATCGTGTTCCTGAGCTCAAACTGCATCCAATAGACACCTTTTTTGTTGAAAAATTTTAACGTCAAAATTTGACTTTTTTGACCTGAAAGTGACCTGACCTAAGCTAAATTCGACTCAAAATGACCTCGAATGACACAGACGACATCAAATTCGAAATTTATGGCCTAAATGGAACATAAACATGTGTCACGTGACCGACGCATGATATAATATTTCCGTGACCTGTGATGACCTGACCCTGACCTGAAAATCAAAGAACAAGTTTGGTACCCTCGGGGTATCTAGAACATCTGTTCACGAGTAAGGATAAACCAAAAATGAGCCTGATCTGACTTGTACCGCAGGGATTTATGTGTAGGTATTAGGGAAAATGAGCTGAGCACATATAGCAGAAATTACAATTCAGAAAAACTCAAAATTACGTCTCGAGAGAAAGGGTCCTAAAAAACTATTCTTCACTTGCAGGCTATAATTGAGAATGAGAGCCGGCCTAAAAGTTGTAACTCTCACGGCCAATACTCGGGTGCAAATGTGCGACTAGTTAACAGAAAAGGACAGGCGTGATAACTTCACAAGGCAAATACTATCTAATGGTTGTCAGACTCAGCAAAGATTGGTGCCTAGTCTTGTCCAAACAAACATTTTTTTTTTGTGTGTGTCTAAGTGATTATCGATCGACCTAACGCGCAGTGCAATTATCACGTAGTGAGCTTTAAAAATACGCTAACTTCCATCTAAATTTATTTGTCAGAGGACAAACACATCAATGAACAGTCACGACAGTCGGTAAGCGTTTTGGACGGGACTATCCTCAGATTCGCAATGAGCGCTTCCCCGCGACAATCACAATGGCACACTTGAAATGGAAGCTCGCTCATCGACCTCACCTTTTCTCACATCGCTATCTCGCATACACACAGACAAACTTACATACATTCACGCCAAGAACAGATCTCACGTACACCCACATCACGTCGAACACAATGGCACTGGAATACCCTTGGCACAATGGTTGGGAAATCCGTTTGATTTGTGGTGCAGTTCGGATCCGCATCAATATTCCATTGGCCTCAGGTTGAGAGAATACTGATGTCCGAGCCATGAGCACGGTATCGGACATTGTTCAGCAGGCGCGGATTTCAACCAATCACAGGACGCCGTGCAAATCGGCAGTGACTAGCGCTGAACACGCACTCGCACATGCACTCAAGGCCATACTTCACTCGCAGCGCTCAGATCTATCATCACATACTCATGAATCGAAAACACGCTGCTGTCAAACATAATTCAAACTTCAATGCTCTCACACTTGATCAATCACGACAGGCTGACTGGAAGTATTCTCACGACACATCATTTCAGTCGCATGTTTCGGAATTACATGCGTGCAAACACGGCACAACCGTCTCGTTCGCACCTTTCTCACGAGTCACAGCTGCAGGGCGAGCCGACAAACTTCCTTGATTGGATTCAAAGAATGTCAATAGGCGACAAAAAGTGCGTCCTGAATTGGATGTCACGCAATGGCGCTTTCAATGTAATGTGCGTAGTGATTCACTAGTCTGAGATTGAAGAAATATCGTTATGTTGAACATGATGCACTTCTGTGTGAGTATTAACAGGTGCAAATTTGATTCAATATCAACAAAAGTATTATGTGAACATATCATTCCCAAACACACCAAACGCTCTTTCTCAATCAGAATCACTCCTGAGCGACCCGCAAACCACCGTCCACCATTCATCTCACGCTCACCAGTCCAAGTGACACCGCTCTCAGTGCTCGTCGCTTAGAACGGCAGCGCGAACTCGATGTTGATGTCCTCGGAGCGCTCCTCAGGGCTGCCGTACTCGGCTGAGGGCGGCAGGTAGGCGCCGTTGGCCACGATCTCGAAGATGTTGTCGCTGCCACTGTCGGCTACCTCCGGCTGGGGCAGCTTGCGCGTGGTGGTGCGGTAGGTGGTGGTGGTCGGCCGGTAGGTGGTGGTCGGCGGACGGTAGGGCGCCGGCGTGGTACGCGGCCTATACGTGGTCTGCACCGTGGTACGGTACGTGGGCCGGGTAGTACGCGGGCGGTAGGTGGGCCGCCGAGTCGGCCGGTACGTCGGCTGGGGAGCAGGGGCGTAGGTGGGCTGGGGAGCAGGGGCGTAAGTGGGACGACGAGTGGGGGCGTAGGTGGGGCGACGGGGAGCGTAGGTCGGACGCGGGGCAGGGGCGTACGTGGGACGGGGAGCCGGAGCGTAGGTGGGGCGCGGAGAGGGGGCGTAGGTCGGGCGCTGGGTGGGCGGCTGGGTGGGCCGCGAGTAGCTGGGCCGCTGCTCGCTGGGCTCCTGCGGAGGCTCGGGCCTCAGGATGGACGGCTGCGGGCTGGAGCCGTCGCTCAGGTAGTCGAGGCACCGGTTCTGGCCCAGGTAGCACGGCTCCAGAGGACCGAACGACGAGATATCGAACGGCGACGCGCCGAAGAAGCGCGAGCAGCCCTTGGCGATGGAGCAAGGCGCGTTGATGGTCAGGTTGGTGACCTGGTAGTTGGGCCACGGATCGTCGAGGAAGCAGCACGTCTCGAAGCCGGCCAGACAGCCGATGTCGCGGCCGGTCGACTTGGTCGAGTACCGTCCCGGGCAGGTGCCGGCCGTGTAGCAGCCGCACGGCGGGTTCGGGTTAGCGATGCCGTTCGCAATATCACGCTTCAGCTTCTCCTGCTTGGCCTTGAAGTCCTGGATCTCGGCCTCAGTGGATCCGCTCAGCAGCAGCGCCTGGTGGACGGCCTCGGCCTCGGTGTCCACCTGCTCGGGGAAGTACTGCACGTGCTGGTCGGGATCGAAGCCCTCGGGGATGTTGAACGCCGAGCAGCAGCGCACCAGGCTCTCGTCCTTGCAGACGGGCACCTGGCCGAAGATCTGGACGTCGTCGTAGAAACTGTAGCGTCCGTAGTAGTTCGGGCAGGCGGTGGCCGTCCGGCAGGGACACCAGGCCGAGTAGAAGTCGGGGTCGGCCGAGGCGACCGAGGCGCCCACTAGCAGCAGCGCCCACGATACGGGCGACACCATCCTGAAACAGGGAGCGCCACCGAACGGTTAGTGGGGAGGCCAGAGTCCGACTGTGGTGCGGAGCCGTGGAGCGATACACTGCACTGGTAGACTGTGCCGCCGGGCGTCAGCGGGCATGGAGAAAATAGCGGAGCGGCGGTAGGTAAACACTGGATACTGTAAGCGAAATCGGGGTCTGGGAGTAAGCTCTAGCTTTCTAAAAACTGTAACACTGCTGATAATATTTATTTGGAAGCCCTGTTTCAAATGAGGCTAAAATTGTATGGAAATGCGTGGACACTTCTGTGAACAAAATATTTTGGCAAGAATAACAGTCCACACTCCTGATCGGATTCTTCTGAAGCATTAATTTTTGCATGAGTACAGCGTTCTCAATATTCCCGGTCCCTAACGCTGTAACATTGTATTGCAATTACTGACATTTTATTATAATGGAGTTCAGTTTAATTGCGTTAACAGTTTCTACAAAATGTGCATACAATCAGAAACCATCTGTTACCCTCAGTGCTCCATATCACTCGAACAATAGCCAATCTGTTACCAGTTCCATGTTCACTGTTCACCAATACAGCTGAATAATGAATATTGTTAGCAACGGGCAAACACTGCATGCAAAGCCAAGGTCAGAGCTGAGTGTTGGCTGCTATGCTAAAAAAGGATTTGTCTATTTGTCCGACCCGGTAAACCCATCCCTGGACACTCTCTGCCCACTCCTCTGCCTGGAGTGCTGAGTGCTGAGTGCTGAGTGCTGAGTGCTGAGTGGAGCACGTCAGCGTCTGAGGAGGCCACCGCACGTTGCCCATCAGCGCCGAGGGTCGCGGTTTCCCGTCACGTTCAGAATCGCATCAGGCCGGCCACTCGGGCCCGCTCCAGAGTTCCACAGAACCTTGGGTCCATCACCACACCTCAGACGCGGCTGGGGTGACAGTGCGCCGCCTGGACCGTCCTCTATGCCATATTCAACTGGGAATGTGCAGTGTCCTTTGTCCTGGAGGGCTGTGCCGGCTACTCAGAGAATACTAAAAGCACGGTTGCATCATTGTAATGGGGTGCAGTTTTCAGCTGATGCATGTAGTCAATACAGAAAACCAATTTGCTCAAGCCGTGCTGCATGTGGAATTTATGCGATGGCGATAAAATGGAACACGGTGTGATGGCATCGGGCCTGCAGTTGACCATGATACATGGCACAGGCATGCAGTTACTAGCCTGGCACATGGCGTGCAGATTAAACAAAATGAAGCTGTGCGACGTTCCGAAAGCGCCGGTGAGTAAATGTGAAACAAAAAATAAGCTGACAAAAAAAAAGCAGTATAGGCAAATGAACGGTAAATGGCCTCTTTATGAGCTTGGTACAAAAGAGGGATGGGTAAAAAGGCAAATCATGTTCTACAAAGTTAAAGATCACACCAACTGACCGATGTAGACCGTTTTTGGTTTCGTCCTTATTTTATGTGAAGCAATTCACTTAATAAGTTTATGATAAGCATAAACAACTTATTACTCCCTGATTTTAATTGAAGTACCGAAATTGATACCGCCTGAGCTGACTTTTGAATAAGTCTTCTGCCTGTTTTTTTATATGGTTTAGCAATTCATTAGTATCTGCATGACCAAATTTCTCTGTCTTTGGTAATCTGTCTTTCTTCTTTGGTGATTGATGGTCCCTGCAGATATGCTTCGGATCGAAAGATTCAGTGTGAAGAGAACAAATTTAATGAACATTCATCAACTAAAATAGACTTTTAAGCGTACGATTATATTGTTAAATGCGATGGATCACTTGCTTTTAACTCATCTTTCTGCTACGCATATGTAAGGTAGCTGATGTATTACCGTATATTCACTCAAGCTCTCAGGATCAGAGGTAGCTAATAGCTTCAAAGCCACTCGTTTATCTTCTGATTTATTCCCACGGCTGTAGCCAGATTTCAGATTGGCTCAGCTGATGTTCAGTGACTGTCTCATATTTCCATTTGCGGCGGTCGGCCGGCGGCGCTCGGCGCCGTCTGGCTCTCCCGGCTGACCTGAGACCCCATCCATCGGTCGCGCGCCGTGCAGCCGCGTCAGGGGAGGGGGGGGGGGCAGAGTGGGACAGTGACAAGGCCACAGAGCCGTCCAGCGACCTTGCAGAAGGTGTCGCACTGTCGCGCAGGTGTCTGCCGGCGGGGGGCGGTCGTCTGCCGCGCCGGCCCGCCGGTTCCGTATCCGCACGCGGCGCTGCCCTTTGACATAGTAACTGCTGTCGGCTGCGGCAGGTCCCCTCGGTGCAGGAGACCACACGTGTGGTCAATGGTCGTGTCTGGCGGGCCTACAGACGAACCCGTGTCCTCCGAGCCTTGTTCCCGGGCCGACAGGACCAGGAGGGGGAGGGGAGGGGCGGGCTCGATAGTGGACGCCCGGTTACGGCGGTCAGTAATTTAGTGGAGGTCCACACCCGGCCGACCGTTTCGCAAAGCGCCCTACATCCCTGCCCCTCCCTGGGGCGGGGCGGCCACCTTACGTCACGTGACCCGGCGCCGGACGACCGGACGGCATCACGTGACCGTCCGACGGGCCGGGGTCGGGCCTGTTGCTCAATCAGACCCTATCTAGGCGGGGATCTGCGTCTCCGAAACGCGACCACCGCGCCGCGCCGGACCGTGGGGGGCAGACGACCTTGAACTCATCAGCACCGGGGCGAAAATGGAGGCCAGCTCGCCGGTGAAGACATTCAGGACCGCCGGCGGTGGAATTTATGCAGCCTATGTGAGGTCGAGCGGTGTTGGGAAATGGATGACCACACGACGCGAGATGCCCAGGTGGTATTCATGAGATGAATAGGCGGTGGGCGACAGTCAATTAAATGAGGCATATTGTTGAAGCGCAGTGAAAACCGCTGATTGAAAGCAGGATTTATGGTAGCATTATTGGAATAGAAAAGATGGTATAACACTCTGAGCATAGTTGAGCACTTATGCGAGTACATCAGCAGATAATGCAAGTTCTGGGCTCTCGGCAATATCTGTCACGTCGAATGAAAACTGAGCCTGGCGACAGGTCTTACGCGAACCGGACGGCCGTTATTGGGTTCGCCTTTCTAATTCGGCGTGGTCGGCCGAGACGATATGGCCCCTGACGCAAGCTCTGAGGTGCACCGCGCCCTGCAGCCGTGCGGTCGAGAGTGCGGACCCTCTCATCCACCTCCCACGCACCATTTGTCCATTCACTGAGCGCGACCGTTCTCCACTCCGCTGCGTCACTTCAGAGCGGTCAAACACGGCGGCGCGCCGGGCCCGGCGACTGAGGAGCTGCCGGGCGACGGCACCTCTCCAGTGACCCGACCCAGCCCCCCCCCCCCGCGGACAGTGAAGGGTAATTGGTGTAACTGCTGGTCATCGTGGCACAATCAACTGATGGTAGCCGCGTGTCGCAACCTACAAGCCTGAGTGACTTGACGGACCAATGAACGATGGCAGCCGATAAAATACGGATGATTGTGTAACTAAGCGCGGATAAATGCTGATCAGAGAGATGGGAAGGGCTTCCGTCCGCTGCCCATGACAGTTACTCAAATGATTGAGTGATGTCGATGGCTGAGCCTGAGCAACTGAATAGAGACGGCTCAGGATGGTCGCTACTCGTTAGCTAATTTAGGGAGCCCTTCTTCTTTGAGCCTACTCATTGTTTGTTCACTTGGCGTTATAATAATTCTGAGCTTATTATTATTTTTCTTGATATTACGTTCTATGTATGTCATATTCCTTTTCATTTTGAGACCTACAATTTTGATAATAATTTGTGGGAGGTTCATTCATTGACCCACTGCAACTAGATTTACTTTAAAGTAAATCTAGGTGCAGAATTGAACTCTCTGATCCTTTGAAGCATTGGCATCTGTGTTTTGTTTACGAAACACTTCAATAAGAAATGTATGTCATTTATCAGTCATTTGTTCATCCTATTGCGTAAAAAACAAACTTTTCATAAACTATTAAAAACGTTTTTTGATCAAAATCGATTTGAGCTATACAAATCCAACTACATCCATGCCGCGGCTGAAGGCGTCAGCGTCAGCTAAAGTGTCGATAGATTTTGAATGAACGAATTTAAAGCCGGAACAATTCTAACCTCGGGCGAAAATTGATCAGGTGGCTGTTCTGGCCGTCGGTAGAGTTCCGTCCGATTCAATGTGATTTTGGTCCGGGGAGCCGCGCCGGCAGACGGTATTGAGCGCCGTGCCAGACGGGCCTTTTGAACGCGGCGGCCGCCGACGCCGGCTGATTTGTGCTGATTGGACACTAATCAAATGTGAGCTCAGACGCGGCCGGGCCGACAAATTGACACTGTAAAATGGCATGGCCAAACTACTGCCGGCTGATCGCAAAAATTAGGCCCAGAGCTCTGGCAATGGAAGGCAGCTTGGTGTTGATATATGTGAGATACGATAATAATTTAAGCCCAGTTTTTAAACACAGTGACAGTGCTAGCGCGATAAAGTACCTACCTATTTATGATTGTGATTAAAGGGACCCTCCCACCTTAACATTAGTTTTGAGTTGAGATAGCCAAGTTTGCGGCCAGGCTCAGAAACCACCATTTATCCTGGTCGCAACCCCCGCAGCTTTATGGTGTTCAAGAAATTTCTTCCCTTTACTTGCAGGGTGGGACCAGCGTGGTCCCTATCTCTTAACCATTACGGGAATCTGATGACGTCATCAGGCTTTCGAACGTCCGTTAAATGTTTGACTAAAACGTTTTGTAGCACGCGGTGGTATATGCTGCTTTGCGCGCAACAAATGCCGCACTTTCAAATAAAGTCGCTAGGAACAGCGGAGACCCCAAAAAGTAAACAAAAGTAAAAGTCTAATATCTTGAAAACCGGTGAATATTTTTCGATGAAATTTGGTAGATATTCGTTTTTGCTCTTTCTGAACCGAGCGACATCACTTTCATGCCAATTCATTAACTTTTTTGAAGGTGGGAGGGTCCCTTTAAAAGACACTCATCACAAGCACTTCAGTTGTCGTATGCAAACATGACAATCAGGTTTATGGGCTGAAAGTTTACTTAGTTTGCAATGAAGCATAATTTCGCTCGGCCTTTGTATAAGCGAATACTATCATGAAGATGTCATGAAATGTTCATTATACAAGGCATTTATTCGTCGTTATGGCGCACCCTCCAGAGCCACAAGGAACCAGTAAATCGCCCCTAGATCTGAAGAAGAAACGTATCTAATTAAATTTCACGGCAAGACTTGCATTAACCCTCGCATGTGTAGGGGGGGGGGGTCGGATGGACCCCCCCCCCATGGTTTTTCGCAAATAACTCGCGTAAAAAGCGGCCGATCGCGACGAAACTTTCAGTACCCTCGCATTGATCAATTTTACACCTACCCTGAAAATTTCATGACCCTGACCCAAATGACCTTTGACCTGTGACCTCTTTTCCGAGACCATGTTTGGCCGGAATCGCGATTTCGCGTATGTCGGCTGGCACTAGCCGCGTGTTTGCAAGCTTTTCGTGGTTTCAAACGTTCAAACATGTGATTTGATGTTACTCCCGTGTGTGTCAAGGTCACCTGAAGGTCAGGTCAGGTCATTGACCTTTGGTGACCTCGGGTGACCTCGGTTCACTTTTTCGAGTTTTACATGTTTCTAGGCTAGTTTTTGGAGCTGAATTCGAATTTAGCAACCATTTGAACATTTACGAAGTAGTTTTGGTGACTTCGTAACATGTTACGAAGCTGTCAGAGGCGGTTGACACGTACTACGAATACCCGTCACGACGCCTACTGGTTGACCTGACCTGACCTGACCCGACCTGGTCTAAATGCTTCAAGACATCATCTGTGATCAAAACTAACACGATATTCGTGATCAGCACCCCGAAAAACCCCTTAGCAGCCACACTTTACGACTTTCTAACAGGTCCCGATTTTCCCGACTTTGGGTCATTGACCTGACCTGGAAGGTCAACCAATGACCTAGGACCTTAAAATTGGGTATCATCGGCTTCCTCTCGTCACGGGCAACACGCTCGTTTTTTTCGCGAAGCTCTAGCTCGATCAGGGGCCAAACGGCAAGGGGGGGTCCAACCGACCCCCCCCCCCTACACATTAGAAGCTGGCAAACGCCGCACACATGCGAGGGTTAAACATAGTGGTAAAATGTGACCAGCGATTTATATGTACATGCAGTTTGATTTTTTAGTTGCTTTTTAGATGGTTTCTTATTTTAAGTTAAACACCAAATTGAATCATTTGACTATTTATATGTGTGTACAGCGAACAAGTACCACTGTAACATTATCTCAAGTGAAGTCATATGTAGGTCTTTGCGCGGATTCGCGAACATCATTGGATGAATTTTACAATAAATCATAAAAGAGTTCAAAAATCCGGGTGCTAGAGAAATTCAAAATTGAACAAGGACTACCATTTTTTTTAATTCAACTATTTCATCTTGAATCAGTGTGTAAAGGACTGTCCGTTTAGACCCTCCCAACCCCCATGCCTCAGCAGCGGCTCCGCTGGCACCACACCGGTCTCTGCGGGGCTCACCTGGCGATTGTTGGCGAACGGCGCGGTCGGACGGGCTCTGCTGGCTGACCTTTCCACACTGAGACGGCACACCTACTGACACGGGTCACGGCGAGCGCCACGCTTTAACACGTGTCGCCGCTGACGTCACGTACTGCACGTGGTGGCCGCGCCCTGCCGCCGGCGACGCGACGCGGTCGAGCGGGACGTCGCGGCCGGCAGACGGGTGTGACCTGCCTGAGGGGTGTGACCTGCCTGAGGGGTGTGACCTGCCTGGGGGACAGAGGGGTGTGACCTGCCAGTGGGGTGTGACCTGCACGATGGGACAGACGGATGTGACCTGCCTGAGGCGGCCGGCAGAGGCATGTGACCTGCCCGAGGGATGTGACTTACGCGGGGGGGGGGGGGGACAGAGGGATGTGACCTGCCTGAGGGCTATGACCTGCCCGAGGGAATCGGCAGAGGGGTGTGACCTGCCTGAGAGGACAGAGGGATGTGACCTGCCTGAGGGCTATGACCTGCCCGAGGGAAATGGATTGTAACCTGCTCGAGGGAAATGGATTGTGACCTGCCCAGGAGGACTACCAGCCGTCAGGGGGATGTCCATCTACCTCCTATTTTTATCTGCGTGTTCGCTTTTGAACACTTACCTGAGAGCATAATTTATTTATTATTTATTTATTTTTCGGTTCACCCGACAACCACAAACAAGTGGGCATTACGACGTGAACTGAAAAAGCACAGATAAAAACACTGCCTCGCGCAGTTCGCACATTTCATATCATAATATTGTTAATTAAAGGGATGCAACCTCCATATCAATAATCATAACCTCCATATCATATCAATAATCAAACTTAAAGGGATGCAGCCTCCCGGATGGGACTGCCAGGGATTGTCACGAGGACTATTTGTCTCAAATAGACTTCACATCCTCGCCTTTTGTCTGATGATGATGCAAAATGCATCTTTATCAATTAGACGCTGATCTAAATGTCATTACTTGTTTACACCTCTCCACGTAAGGAACTAAATCGATCATGTAGAATGCAAATGATATTAAGGACGCGAATAAAAGGGAACGCATAAAGTTCCTCAGCGTTATTATTCCAAGGTGGAATCAGAAATGAATCGATCATTCATTTGCATTCCAAACTGGCGATTCTTAGCAAACTCTGCCGTTCGAGGCTCGTCGGCCGCGGACGCATTTTTCAGCCACTGATTGATAAAATGGTTTCGGCGCCCTGCAGCAGCTCACGTCAGCAAAGATTTGTCACGGCTGTTGGGTGTCTTCCCGACGTGTTATGTGGCGCTTATCGTTCTGCTTATCCCCAGCGCATACTCGCCGCGGCATTATGCCGAGCACCGGGTTCGGATTAGTGAGGAGAGGATTAGCATCCCTCCCTGACCTGCACCAAAACCTGCTCCAGCCAGTGTCGTCCCATGAGCAGACCAGAGGTCAGTGTCCCTTGCATATATGTTTGGATGACAACCCGTTCGGTTTACATCAACATCCGTGCTGCTCTCCGGCTTCGCTTGGTCGTTGACTGGGAAGACATTCAATTATTCATTGGAAGTGAGATTTTTAACAGCTGATTTGCAAGAGTGGTGCTCGTATGATATGTGGTTTGACGATAGGCTGAAAATGTCATGCAACCGACGAGTACATTAGGATTCGTTACACAAAAATACTTCTTTATTCGTGTTTTATTTACTCTACGCACTGTTTTATAATATGTGACCAGAGCACTCTAAATGAACCTGAAACTGAAAGATTGGGGCTATCACTGAAGGGTCACTGTCAATATCTTCATATCATAAATTTATTTCAGGGTTGTATTAGAAAATAATGTATGAAGAGGCTTTGCAGCGCAAACGGACAACTTCTAAGAAACACAAGCCGTTTTCACGACGGCCATCTGGTACACATTTGGGTGCAGATTTGGTGCATATTTGGTCAAACTAAGTTCATTGCGTTTCTTAAAAGTTATCACTTGGGTTGCATTAGTTGCTTATATGCCTGATTTTTTCAAATATTAGACATTATTTTCGATTAAAACACTGAAATAAATTCGTGATATAAAGACATTCATTCTAAAAGAGATTTAGTGCAGATTTGGTCAAATTAGGATATTCGCCAGATGTAAACATTGATTCACCGTGAAAACGGCTACAATGAAACTAATTTGACCAAATCTGCACATAATCATTTATACGCGTTGGAATCATGTAGGTATGTCGAGATATGGAGAAACAAGCGTCTAGCGCCCTCCTGTGCTGGTCAATCAATAAGGCAACCTGCATAGCGGTTATCACTTTTTCGCGTTGATCCCAACTGCTCTAAATATTCGTAGAAAAGTGAGTAGACCGCCTACCAGGAGACGAGGCCAACTGTGCCCAATCGCCTTGTCTCGGGTCAACCGATGAGTTAAGAGGTTTGTTCAAAATATCTTAGAAGACTTCGAAAAGAGATACAGTAATCATCATTAAAGGTGTTTTTGCTTACAGCTACTTGCCAGCTTACGTGAAGGTAAAAAACGAAGCTAACTATTTGCTTGACTAGCGCAACCTGAGTGTCGGTTCATTGTATAATCATATTTTATCTTTATTGTTTTCTTGTATCTCATCTTAGTCTTTCTTATCCTAGTCTCCGAATCTCGACAGAAGTTAAGCCCCGAAAAGTCTTTTATTTTAAAAGCTACATCAGTACGGAAATGTGCAGATACAACCCCCACACATTCACACCTCCCTTCACCGCAGCTCCTGTAATACGGCGCAATATCAACCAACCATGTCCTATTAGCACCCAACGCCCGCTCAGTGGCTAGCTTATGTGCAAAGTGTTGCGGTGTTTATGTGGTAACTCGGCGTGTCCATCTCAAGTTGCAAGTTGGAGCATTACATCGCGGACGTTTTCCGGCTCCCACGTGAACCCCCTCCCTCCCGTCGACCGCCGAGTTACCCACGATCGGACCGTCGCCGGCCGCCGGCGCCGGCGCCCCCAGCCATCACCGACCGCCGTCTCCAGGTGTGGTCTCGCGTGCGGTCCCGTATCTGCCGATCGGCCCGGCTGAGTTTGCCGTGGTGCAACTACCTGGCGTTGCAGCTGTGCGGTCATCGAGCCCGGTGCTCCACTGTAGCCGTATACCGGCGGCAGAGCGGAGGGCCGGGACTGGCGCTCCAGATCAGCCAGAGCTGTTGCGTCATCGGCCACCGCCCGCGGCTATGGACGAGGCGTGACGTCACGCCGGTCAGTCCGGTGGGGAACACCTTGAGTGGGGATGAAGGACGGGGGCACGGGGGTGGGGGAGCGGGTCACCCGATTGGGACAGCGCAGACGGCCTAGAACGACCTTCAGTCCGGGTGCTTAAAAGTGTTCGGCGCACATTTCCTCCTCTTGTCTCTGTGTGACCTATCGTTTGTGGCTTATTCCTAACGGGAAAACTCACTATCCTTGGTTCTGCGCGTTTATAACGAGGAAAAAGAGATGTCCTTAAGTGTTCAAAATCATATATCACAAAATATCTAGGCATATCTTCTCAGCATAAACCTTTTTTTGTCGGGGAATGGCAATGCAGCTGAAGAACATGAAAAGGCATTAGTGGGATCACATGGATATGTCATTCATGGAGTCATGGTGAGATGGCGGGAAAATGAAGTGCAGTTTTCATTGGAAGATGATGATCCGTGATCATGTCGCTGGATGCTCTTTGCTCATCGCTCATGGTTTGTAAAACATATCGAAATGTAAAGCAAAAAAAAACGAGAAATTGTAGGTAGGATTTACCCGAGTGTAAAACTTTTTTTACTTCCAATTCAAATCAAAGTTATACCTATGACACGAATCTTGAGTAAAACTGAACACTTACCATCATCAACCCAATGCAACTATTTGCGGAAAACGATGCAATGGCCTTTGGCAGCCTAGTAACAGCGTTTTCACGGCACCCACGTCGGGCAGTGCCCATCTCCGCGTGACCCGACCTCGCAGCCGCCCCTGAACACCATCACCCAGAAACAAGACCGGTCTCTTTCGCCATACGAACCATTATCGAGCGGCATTCCACGTTCCGTGTGGCCAGGATTCCAGGCCACGGTTTATTGTAGACGGCTCCGCCACCCTATCCTTCATCGGTGGCTCCCTTGGTTTGACCACGAGCTCCCGTAAGCTCGACAGCAGCCGGCTGTCGATAAGTTGCACCCGTAAATTTGCGTGATGAGCCATCTCCATGCGAATGTGTCACGATACACCTTCCCGTTAGCTTGCCGTGAGCCATGGCCCCTGAGTTTAGACGGCCGATAGAGCCGCTCAGACATCCCGTTCCGTTACAGTTTTGTGTGAGGGGTGGGCGAGGTGAGGGCTGGGCCTTTGTGAATAACGAGCGACGAGCCATGTTGATGAAAGAACTGGGGAGAGTTTGTCGCCACTTGGTCAAGGGCGACAAGTCCCACCCAGCTGGCGGCGTTCCACAGTGGCACATTACACCCCAACAACTCCTCGTGAAGGGGAGAAAAGACGCCCGATTCCGGCTCACATTTAGTTCATTGTGTCCTGGATGGGGGTATTTTGGTGGTCAAAGTGTCTCCTTTATTCTCTTGATTGCACCATGGGGGAAATGAAAGCACGCTCACTATTTTTAACGGATAAGTCTGCTGTTATTTTATAGACTTTAACACATAGCTCGGCACATACCTCGGGGCTTTAACACTTATATTTCATGGTTATTGTGTCCAAGGAAGTTCGTTGTAGAATGTCACACAGTGCTACATGCGAGGAACGTGTCAGGCATACCTAGCTTTTGGATGCCGCAACACTGCCTTGCATGAATCCTTGGAAGCCTGATTTAAGTGTGTCTCCCCAGTTCTCGTCATCGTGTATTTCTCCAATGGTCAGTTTCTTTCATGAATGGGGAGTCCTTACCTTCTTCAGTTTTATTTCTTTTAAACGACCGAGGTATTCAAGTCAGCACTTAATGCCTGCACTGCAGACATTAGAGCGAAGTGAATGCTTATGTATTACATGCCTTGGTATTATCTTGCGAATCATGTTTAAGACAAAGTCGTTTTGAAGTGCGTTTAGCTACTTCTTCAATTTCAGTACATTGAACCTTAGGTAGGAAGATCGAACCATTGAGATGTGACTGTATGTCTTTGGCATTCTTGATAATGAAGATCGACGCTACGGTAACTATAACGCATGATATTTGCCATGTTGACTAGATGATCTAATTTATCATGGATAGAGGTCAAAGTGGGCAACTTAGGCCGGGGG